ACGCACACTGCTGACACAAGTGGAAGAAGGTCACTCGTATTTCCTTGTGTTTACATTTCTGTCTCAACGCTCTCGTCTCCATAGCGACTTCTTTTCTTTGCCTGTGGGTGCGGTTCTTTCAGGTTGGTCGTTCGGGGCAGGTTCAACTCAAAGCCGTTGAAAAAGAGAATGTGTATATTTAGTGAGTTTTAAGCTTGGTGATGTATTCTGACAACTTTTTGGAGCTTGCCCCTTCTGTCTAAAAGCTCCTGTCTCAGTCGTTATAACGGTATGATGTCCCTCACCTCCCCCCTCCTGGACCCCCTGCAGTTCGCCTACAGAGCCAACAGATCTGTAGACGACGCCATCAACCTGGCCCTCCACCACATCCTACAGCACCTGGACTCCCCGGGGACCTACGCCAGGGTCCTGTTCGTGGACTTCAGCTCTGCCTTCAACACAATCCTGCCATCCCTGCTCCAGGACAAGCTCTCCCAGCTCAACGTGCCCGATTCCACCTGCAGGTGGATCACTGACTTCCTGACGGACAGGAATCAGCGAGTGCGTCTGGGGAAGAATGTCTCGGACTCTCGGATTATAAATACAGGAGCCCCACAGGGCTGTGTTCTTTCTCCCCTGCTCTTCTCCCTGTACACCAACCACTGCACCTCCAGCCACGACTCCGTGAAGCTGATCAAGTTCGCGGACGACACCACCCTCATTGGACTCATCTCCAACAACGATGAGTCCGCCTACAGGAGGGAGGTGGACCGGCTGGTGTCCTGGTGCAGTGGAAACAACCTGGAGCTGAACGCCAAGAAGACAGTGGAGATGATTGCGGACTTCAGGAAGAGCACTGTCCCCCCACCCCCACCCTCCGTGATGGACTCCCCCATCACCTCTGTGGAGTCCTTCCGTTTCCTGGGCACCACCATCACCCAGGACCTCAAGTGGGAGCCGACCATCAGCTCCCTCATCAAGAAGGCCCAGCAGAGGATGTACTTCCTGCGGCAGCTCAGGAAAGCCAAGCTGCCTGCACAGATGTTGGTGCAGTACTACACGGCCATCATCGAGTCCATCCTCACCTCCTCCGTCACCGTGTGGTTCGCTGGAGCCACAGTCAGGGACAAACAGAGACTACAGCGCATTGTGCGCTCTGCAGAGGAAGTGATGGCCGCAGCCTTCCATCGCTGCAGGACTTGTACGTCGCCCGAGCTCGAGGCCGGGCTGGTTGTATCACAGCCGACCCCTCTCACCCTGCACATGGACTATTCCAACCACTCCCCTCAGGCAGGAGGCTGCGGTCCATCAGGACTAGAACCTCCCGCCACAAGAACAGTTTCTTCCCCTCTGCTGTTGGACTCTTGAACACTTCTTAACCTGTCCCCCCGCCCTTTATAAAGTCACTTTACTGCCCATCATACGTCACTTTACTTCACTGTACTGCTGTCACCTTACATTGTGTGCACCATGTGCACTTGTATATTGTAAATAGTAACTGTAACTCTATTTTAAATTTAAATGTATTCTTTAGAAGTGTTTTTTATTCTTATTTTTATTATCTCTTTTTGACTGTTGCACTGAGCCAAAGCAATTTCCTAGTCTGTGACCTCCTGTTACTTACGTGGCAATAAAAATGATTCTGATTCTGATTCTGATCGTACCACTCTGACATAATAATGATCTTATTTATAATGCACCTTACATTACTAGAAAACCTCAAAGTGCTACAGATTAAAATTCAATACAAAAATGCGTCAAAGGACTTCACCAAAACTCTCTGCGCAGTTTTTCTGTCTTTTAAAACAAAAGTATTGCCCATAAATGTGTAGTTTCTCGCCGTCGCATTTCTGTATGCAGTCTGTGTAGTTTTTTAACACTTCATACTTGTTCCTCAAAACATACGCAACTCTTTACATTCTAAAACATGAAACTAAAAAGTAAATGGTCCCATAGTTTTAATGACCAAAAATAATTCATACTATTTCTCCTTTAATTTTACGTCAGTCATAATTCAGTCAAAGGGACAGATAAGGTGCTAAATTGTGTTCCTGATCTTTTAACCATGTTGCAGTCTTGTTTCCTCATCAGAAACAAACCTGGGCTTGATTTTTGGCTTCTTCCCGACAAATTTATCCGGAACTTCTGGTGAAAATCGGCACAAACACGCTCCTCAGCTCTTTCTGTCTCAATGTTCCCGTCTGACTAATCCTTCTCATGGACAGAGCCACTTTTTCTGCTTTTTGAAAACGAAAGCATTGCCTCCACATAAGTTTAATTTCTCCACAACTCGAGAAGACATGAGTGAATACATAGTCTGCATATGCCGTGTTTTAGGTTGTGAAATTAGTTCTTAAGATCATGTTTTACCACAATAGATAACGGAACAAGAAATCCAACAGCAGATCAGACTTTCATCCAAATCCATGTTTTTCTGGGGTTTTTTTTTTTCTCTTTCTTTGGAACTAAAAGTGTTGGGACAAATGAAGAATCCTAGAGTTTTTCTTGGATTTTACACCTCCAGCCTGAGATTTAACTGTTTTGGTCATATTGTAGAGATTCTGAATGATTATAGTGTTTGGGTAAAGCAATTGATTGCCAAATTATAATGGGGTCAAGTCGATAAGATACAGTAAGATAGACTTTATCGATCTCACACTGGAGAAGTTTGCATGTCACATTTGGCATGGATAGAATCACTGAGATTGTGCAAAAGTGTGCAAACATGGAACAGTTGAATATATAATCTGTGCAGGATATAATTATGTACAACAAAAAAGTGGCAAAGGAAAGAGTGGTAATTTCGGTGCAGATTTTTCAGTCCTAGTGCAAATTTAGTGACTTAAAGTGACTTATTGTACAGTCTGACAGCGGTGGGGACAAAGTAGGGGGAGATCGCAAACTTCAAGGAGCTAGAGGCTTTTTGATAAGAAGAATGAGCACCTTAACATCAGAGGATTAAAAAAGCAGTCATCCAGAACCTCCACACACATCTATGACTGAGCTGTCATAGATGTTAAAGGGGAAATACACTGGGGGATGGAGACTTCTGCTCTGCTCTGCCAGGCCTCTACTTGTACTTATAGACCAATGGCTCCTGTTTTTTATCATTGTTTTGCCCAATGTTCAAACTGATTCTCCGATTTTTATTTCATTTTAATCTAACCTTTATTTAACCAGGACAGTCCCATTGAGATTACGAACCTCTTTTTCAATTGAGTCCTGGACAAAAGTTAGTTTTATAAAATTACGGATTATAAAAACGGTTACATGTCAATCAGGACGTCTCAAGTGATCTAAAGAGAATTCAGTGAAATAAGTGTATGATTATTTCCAGTCTTTTGTATGTAAAAGGAGCAGAATATACAAAAGCTGTTTTTTTTCCCCAGTTCTGTGCGGGCAAAAGAAACAGATGTTGTTTAGGAATTGACAACGTTTTAAAGTCTGTTGATTTAGGGCTACACTTATACTATGGTTTGTATCTTATTCATCATATGTATTTGTATATATTATGTTGGGATGGATGTGTGTTGTCAGATTGTGCAAGATAGAACCACATAATTTGGGAGGGAAAGTTATCCATCCATCTATCCCCTGAACGGATCCGACTGTTTCTTGCACCCCTAGTTGTGAAATGTACAGTATTAGTGTCTCTTCCACACAGTAGCAACAGCAGACTTCACTGTGGAGGAGGAGGCTTGGAACTCGAGCCAATCGCTTTGTGCTCCGTCTGCTGGCAGCGCACTCTACAACTCTATGTTCCTGTGTATATTTAGAACAGAGCAGTCGAGGAAAGACCGGAAAGAACACTCTCGTATCTTATTCCAGTATTGTTTTGTCAGCGTTCGACCCCATTTATGACATTCGAGGCTACGTAAATGACAAAATTAGAAAGATAAGGGGTGATAAATGCTTATGGGGTTGGGGAGGAGGACTTTTTGCAATATTCTCGTTGGGGAAAAATCTAAGTTTGTTCAAAAACGTGGGATAGAAATGTGCCACAAGCTCTATGCACAAAGCAAGGGTATTATGTGAAGTTATTTTTATATACGGACTGGGGTGACGCTAAACTCTCGACTCTAAAGCAGCGGAAGGTCTTGCTGCGTGGTGTTTGCATGTTCTCTCCGTGGTTTTCTCTGGTTTCTCATGCCCAGCGTAACCACAGGGTTTTAGATGTAAGGCTTTCGAAAGTTTTTAAGATGGAGATTACATTTTAGATTGTGGCACAAAATATTGTATGGCACTCGACTGACTACACTAATTAAATGGACAACTATCAATGTCTCCTTCGGGGATCAATAAAGTATCTATCCATCTATTGAACAAGTTTCCAAAGTGATGCAAGGAAATAAAAGTAAAAAAAAAAAATGTACAAGTTTGCCAGCTTTATTTATATTCAGAAAGAGGTAAGGGTGGTTAAAAGAATTTCATAATGTCTTTAACCACACTTTTCTTTACATTGAAAAGGAAAGGCAAGTTTAATTGTATTGCACAGTTCATACAAACAAGGAAACTCAAAGTGCTTAACACATGAAGATAGAAAAAATATACAAGGGATTAAATTATATATAACAGTGCATTAAAAAGAGTGAAGACCCAATCCTTCAGAACAGAACAATACCTTCATTCATTCGTTCATACCTGCATGGGAAAGCCAGATCCTGTCAGACCTCTGAAGCTAAGCAGGACATGATGGGAGACCTCTGGGAACAACTGATGCCACTGTGGGACGTCTGTGGCTGTAAAGTGTCTAACTGTTGGTGTGTCCTTAGGCAAGACACTTCACCCACATTGTCTAAAATGAGTTTGGGGTGTGTATGAATGTTTGGTGGTGGTCAGAGGGGTCGATGGGACATTCTGGTTGCCTCAGGGCAGCTGTGGCAACGTTTGCAGTCTATCACCACTGTGTAATGAGTGAAAGAATGACATGTGAAGCGTCTTTGAGTGTCCAAAAAAAGCGCTACATAAAATCAATTACAAAACCCTATTTTAAAATCTATCCCGTCTGTGTTTTTTTTCAGTTCCGCCTACGACCGCGACAACAAAATCCGCGTGGCCATAAAGAAGATCAGCCCGTTCGAGCACCAGACGTACTGCCAGCGCACTCTCCGCGAGATCAAGATCCTGCTGCGCTTCAAGCACGAGAACATCATCGGAATCAACGACATCATCCGCGCTCCGAGCATCGACCACATGAAGGACGTGTATCCTTTCGGAGCGGCTTCAGTTGCATAATAGCCACTTGTCTTTGTGCTTTTGGCAGGCAGCTGGTTCCCTGTAGCCAAGCAGCTCGATGTGAACGCTAATCTTGCGCGTTGTTGTGGGTAATTTGCTCAAATGTATAGTATTGTTGTTTTGTTTAAGCTTGAATTTTAGTTTGAGGAGAGTGGTTTTTGTTTATAACACTAAGCTAACACATGACTTAATGTTACTATCGTAGGAAAAACAGTGAATTTAGCTTTAAAGGAGATGATGCAAGACGTCTCGGCAGCAGTCGTCTCGGAGGACTTTACAAAGTTGTCGATTCCCCAACAAACTGATCAGAGAATCAAACTGTTCAAACACCAGAAATGCAATAATAACTATTTATTTATTTGTCCATGTCATCATTTTACATACATACGTCATATATTTTATTACATTTGTGCAACATGAACAAACGGGAACAGAAGCAAGTCTTACAAATCCTGTCCCTCGATTTGCTGGTTGAAAAGACATTTTTAACCCCAATATTATCTGTCCCCAATCTAGAATTTTTCCGTCCTATTCAATAACAACAACTTTCTGCACACTTATTTTCATTTCACATTCAGTCGTCTTTTTGTCCATAGATAGACAAAAATGGTCCATAGGGAGCGGGATGACCAATGTCCTGCTCTCTGTGGTTACAACAGCAGTGGATACAACCTCGGTTTGTCTTTAGCAAATCAGTTCATGCTCTTTTTTTAAGATTGAGCACTTATATTGCACTTTCATGTATAGTCTCATAAATGTAACGGCCATCTCAGTTTTGTAAAAGTAGCTCTCTGATCAAAAGGGTTTGGAGACCGCTGCTCTAAAATATGACATTCTTTTAAAGGCTGTCCAAAAGGCAAGGCTAGTTTTGCTGTATAGCTCCAAAAAGCTTAAATCACCTAAGACTTTCAAATAAAAAATATTAAAGGTTGTTTTAGTGCAGTCTCTCTTAATCTGCTCACATGATACATTTTTGTGTCTAGTATCTTCCTAAACTCGCCGCAGATATATCGTCCAGGACCTGATGGAGACGGACCTCTACAAGCTGCTGAAGACCCAGCACCTGAGCAACGACCACATCTGCTACTTTCTCTACCAGATCCTGCGAGGCCTCAAATACATCCACTCCGCCAACGTGCTGCACCGCGACCTCAAGCCCTCCAACCTCCTGCTCAACACCACCTGCGATCTCAAGGTCCGCTTCTAAGACTTGCATATAAAACTAGACTTTTGTTGCTAAAAACACATATTGAAAAGTAGACTTCCCATTTCTAGTCCTGGCTCTGTCCTCACACTCATCCAACGTCTCCAACATGTCCATAACTCTGCTCCTAGGATCATCACACAAAAAAAATCAACAGATCACATCACTTTGGTTTTTATCCAGCTCCCATTTGCTCCCCATAACCCACAGAATCCAGTTTAAGCTCCTCCTTCTCACAGTCAAATCTCTCCATAACCTGGCCCCCTCGCACCTGAGTGACCTGCTCCACCCATACCCGCTCTCTCTACTCATCATCTGCCCCTCTCCACTCTCTCCTCACTGTCAAAATGGCTGCGATGGAGACCAGCGCATTCAGCCAATCTGCCCCTAAACTCTGGAACACTCTATTACCTGCGACAGTTAGACTCTAAGGACATTTTCAGATCACATGCATCTAAAAACCAACCTTTTTAAACTGGCTTATTCTTTGATAATGTTTAAATGTATTCAATTTAATATATTGTTAGGCAGGGGTCTCGGGAAATACCAGTAGCTCGCGAGCCCCTTTCAGGTAGCTCGCCAAAGGATTTAGAATTTAATGCATGATCTTAAATTAATACATTTTGAGCCATTACATGTCAAATATAAGTATAGATATAGGGTTATATGGTATTATGATATATTTTACATGTGTTCTCCATGTTTTGTTGTAATTATTAGATCAGGAGTTGCTCTCTGCCTCTTCTTTTGTATACAAAAGTAGCTCTCTGAAAAATGTTGGAGACCCCTGTTGTAAGGTGTCCTTGGGTGTCTTGAAAGCCATGAAATAGAATGATTTATTATTCTTACTATTTATTGTTCTGTCTAAATTTGTTGCTTTTGTCGCGTTCCAGATCTGTGACTTTGGCCTGGCTCGTGTTGCCGACCCGGACCACGACCACACCGGGTTCCTCACGGAGTACGTGGCCACGCGCTGGTACAGAGCCCCCGAGATCATGCTCAACTCCAAGGTACGCGACCCTCCTTTTGAGTCAAAGGAAACATGTTTTTAATCATTGTTGTCATTCCAGGGTTATACCAAGTCCATCGACATCTGGTCAGTCGGTTGCATTCTGGCAGAGATGTTATCCAACCGGCCAATTTTCCCCGGAAAACACTACCTGGATCAACTCAACCACATATTGGGTAAGAATACACACAGCTCGCAACTTGTTTGCATAAAGAATAAATATTTGTGAGATAAATTACATACTTTCTATATATAATTGTTTGTTATTCTTTTCCAAGGTATTCTGGGCTCTCCCTCCCAGGAAGACCTCAACTGCATCATCAACATCAAGGCCAGGAACTATCTGTTGTCTCTGCCACTGCGCTGTAAAGTTCCATGGAATCGCCTCTTCCCCAACGCAGATCCCAAAGGTGAGACATTAATTCCATTCAATGTATTTTTGTAAAGCCCTATTTCACAGCAGCAGTCGTCGACTTTACTCTCTCTATATATATATATATATATATATATATATATAATATATATAAATTATATAATTATATATTATATATATAGGGCTGTCAAACGATAAATTTTTTTAATCGAGTTAATTACAGCATAAAAAATAATGAATCGTAATTAATCGCATTTCATACTATTTTTATATAAATTGTTGTTTGAATGAAAAGATAAATTACAGCTTAGTGAACATATGTACTGTATTTGTTTGTTATAACAATAAATCCATATAAAATTGAATTAACATTATTAACATTCTGTCTTTCTGTTTAGACTCAGACCAAAACCATTGTTTGTTACAGATGAGGGACATTTCAAAATAGTCTGAAATTCAGAATGTCATTAAATCTGTTTGATTTGCTCACACTATTACTTTTTTTGGCACAACTAACATGAACTGGTAGTCGAAAGGAAAATTAGGTACCTCAGCTTTAATTTAGCGAGTGCACTTCGGGAGAAGACACGGAGGAGACTGAGGCTCCGCAGTCCAGCTTCAGCGCTGTAGATATTGTGTGCATCGGTTACGCAAAGACACGTACGCACACTAGAGAATCCATCCATCCATCCATCCATCCATTTTCTACCCTTTAATCCATTTCTGGGTCAGGGGGGTGGCAATCAGAGCTGCCACCCAAGTCTCATAGCACCAGCCCCTCACTGACCCTCTGCAGGTGGTGAGTCCACAGGAGGACGGCTGCTCTCTGAGTGTGAGCATAGCCTTGATCTTTCAGTGGGGGCTTTGGGCAAAGTGGGGTTAAGTGTCTTGCCCAAGGACACAACGACAGCAGTCATCAGTGGGAGTTGGTGAGAGGTGGGAATTGAATCCACGACCTTTAGGCCTGAAGGCCAGTGCTCTACCAACTGAGCTACTGTCGCCCCTCACACTAGAGAATAGTTCTGTAATAGTTCTGTGCGTGGTCTTGGATATGATCCCATTACGCAGCGCCGTTTGCCGTGATCACAGCCGCTGGAAGTGGGAACTGTCCAGAGCGCTGTGGCGCCCGCAGCTCATCATGCAGAGTTCATACAGGAAACAACAAGTGCCCCGCGGTCACGCGTGTATTCTTTCAAAACTTGAATTCCCAGAGGGCCTACCTGCTCTGTCCCCATCTTACACACGCGCATGTGTCCGCGGCATTGTGAGTGTTATTATGGGACGCATGGGCATGCGTCAAATGCGTTAAAAAAAAATTGCGCGATTAATGAAAAAAATTAATTAATGTGTGTTAACGTGATAATTTTGACAGCCCTTATATATAAGATTGTCCACTCGCAGTGACAATTCCAAACAAACATTTTCCTTTTGCAACCAACAAAACATCATACTGGTATCAATCAATAAAAAAGGCAAAACAACAAAATACACAACGTGCAATAACATCATTGGAGCCGTTGGTCCATAGGGAGCGGGATGAACAATGTCCATAGTTGTTAATAAATGCCCTTTTGTCCCGGATCACGGTGCTTAGACCCTCTTGCATTGGCAAGGAAAGACTTTAAAACCAGGTGTGAAAAATAGAGAAACCTCTGAGGCCCACATTGTGAGAGGGATCCACTCAGCGCTCAGTCCTGGGCCAATGACTTTTAACATAATTGTATAAAATATAAAGTTGATCTTTATTATGTCTTTAATTCATTAAGTGTAGACATTCTGTTACCCCCCATGCTGTGTTTCTGAACCACAGCAGGACTGGCTTAGTTAAATGTAAAGTATAATTTATGAGTTCAAAGAGTCTGTTTAAAAAATTCTTTCAATCTCCACAGTGAATGAATGCAACAAGAAATGTATATCAACGTTTTTAATTACTATTCTGTTATTGTAGTGATAGGGCGCCCTCTACTGGTTCAATTATATGATGCTTTTTAATCACTCCATGGTTATTGTGTTTCAGCCCTGGATCTTTTGGACAAAATGTTGACTTTTAACCCTCACAAAAGGATCGAGGTGGAGGAGGCTCTGGCGCACCCGTACCTGGAGCAGTACTACGACCCCACAGATGAGGTCTGTCACAATACCCTCAGCGTGTAATGAGCTCTTAGTGGTCTCGCATAGTTTACAATCTACAATCACACACGGGAGAAAGCCTAATACTCAAAAAACCTCAATTGAACATTTTAGGATTCAGTAAGTAGAGAGAAAATAGTGATCATCCAGGTTTAAAAAAAATCCAAATCTGTTGTTCTCTTTTGCAAAATATAGTTCCAGTTTCCGTTGAACTATATTGTAACCTGTTTAAATCCTTTTCCTGTTTTTCAGCCCGTGGCCGAGGCACCGTTTAAGTTTGACATGGAGCTGGACGATTTACCCAAAGAGACACTGAAGGAGCTGATCTTTGAAGAGACGGCGCGTTTCCAGCCGGGGTTTAGGTCCTAACCCCGCCCACCCCACAGGTCAGACACAGGAGGTCAGAATCAGGGGTCCCACATGGGTTCAGATTGACACATGACTTCACCACATAATAACTGTATATTACAGTTTGTGACAAAATGTACAAACTGTTAAGTATGGTTGCTCAGGGAGGCCCATATTGAGATTGAAGGATGGACAGGCTGTAGCTCCAGGACCTCCAGGGCTGAGGCTTGTAGATCCGAGACCTCCAGGACTCAGGATTGTTAGATCCGGGACCTCTAGAACTCAGGCTTGTTAGATTCAGGACCTCCAGGACTGAGGCTGTAGCTCCAGGACCTCCGGGACTGAGGCTGTCGCTCCAGGACCTCCGGGACTGAGGCTGTCGCTCCAGGACCTCCGGGACTGAGGCTGTCGCTCCAGGACCTCCGGGACTGAGGCTGTCGCTCCAGGACCTCCGGGACTGAGGCTGTAGCTCCAGGACCTCCGGGACTGAGGCTGTAGCTCCAGGACCTCCGGGACTGAGGCTGTAGCTCCAGGACCTCCGGGACTGAGGCTGTCGCTCCAGGACCTCCGGGACTGAGGCTGTCGCTCCAGGACCTCCGGGACTGAGGCTGTCGCTCCAGGACCTCCGGAACTGAGGCTGTCGCTCCAGGACCTCCGGGACTGAGGCTGTAGCTCTAGCAGTTGGCTCTGTCCATCCTTTTCCCACGACCTATAGATGTCAGTCTTTCTCACGTGTGTTTGTTCTCGCAGGCGTCTGTGGCTTCTGGATCACGCTCCTCCCCGCCTCCGCTGCATTGCTGTGACTTTTGCTTCTGTTCTTTCTCAAATCATCTGGATCCATTCGGGTTTTCAAGTTCACTCTGCCTCAGGAATGGCGTCCGCACTCCACAAATCCAGTATTTTTTTTTTTCTGTCTGACTCTGGAGGTGAGGAGGGGCCCACTGCAGACCTACAGACTGACAACCCCCCCCCCCGTGCTCTCCCTGTCGTCTAGTGCAGAAACTTGCTGTTGTGCTGTGGTGACTTTAAAAACATGCGAGCTACGCTACTCCAACGATCTTAACTATTGCATTTTCCATTATCACACTGTCCCGAGTGAGGATGTATATTTTCGTGTTCACAAAAGAGAACCAACTGATTTTATGCAAAACCAAGTCTGAAAGCCAGAGACCTCATGGGCCAAAAGCCATCGCTGAAGAGGGTTCGCTCTTCAAAAAGCTGTCTATTTTATCATGTATTTTAAACCCTACACACACACACACACACACACACACATGAGAATAGCCCAAAACAAATGTATACTATACAAACATATAAACGTTTATACATATATATATAAAACATAAAAGTCTTAACTATTTTATTGGAAATGTGCAGTTATAAATAGTTTCGGGAGGACCTACGCGCCCGCTTTACGCTCTTGTTTGTATTGTACTGACTTCCACCTCGAGAAAAGTTTGTGAGACTCCAGTAGGCGCCGTGCTGTGGTTGTGAAGTTGACAAACAAAATGTCCGCTCGCTTTCCCCCAGTGGCGTGTTCCGTGTTCCTCGAGTGTGGTGATCGACCTTTTGCATGACTGTTATAAGCTCTGTACAAAGACCATGTCAAGTGCCACCGAAGCCTTCACCCTCTGATCACACGGTGCTTTCGTCCTTCTTAAGGCTCTCGCATGTGCATCTGGAAAGGAGACAAACCATATATATATATATATATTTACGTAACAGTTATATGCCAATAACTGAAACCTGTCTGTGTATTCTTCAGTCAAACCAAGTCACTTTGCACATTCTGACCATAGACTGTATATATAGGAGTGGGCTCACCAATTAGCTTTTAGCATTTTAGTGCGGAAGTAGCAGATTTGAACGTAGGCTAGCAGTGGGCAATTTCCTTATATGGGCATTCGTTTATACGGCGTTAGGTTTGCGCCGTGACAGGAGCAGGCATGTTGCTAAGATGGTTAGTAAGGCAAGATGGAGGTTCCTCTGTGACTGAAGACAAGAGAACCTTTGGTAACACTTTAAATTAGCCCTTACTAATTAAGAGCTAACAAAGTGCTAATTAGTGTTCCCCAACCCCAACTCCCTAGCCTTAGCCCTACCCTTAGCCCACATGGGAAAGGGTCAGTTTGCAGTCAGTAATTATTCTACCTGGCCTTATTCAACATCAAACTCACAAGTGCTTTAAAAATACCAATTAAAGGCTAAATAACTATAAATTAGACCAATATTTGCACTTTAGTTTACCCCTCACTAATTATCAGTTAATAAAGTGTCAACGAACCATTCATTCGTCGCACGGTGGAGACATTTTGAGGCTGTAGATCTAATTGTAAATCCAGATATGACCAATTATAAGGATTGACCAAAGATAGTATCCAAAAAGGATCATGGAGGTCGAAAAGCTAGATTTTATTTAGCCCTAGTTGGTGAGTGTGACAAAAACGGTTACTGAGAATTTTACGTTTACATGCGAGTCAATAGGAGCCAGTGCGAGTCGGAGCCAAACTTCGCCCATGAGCACTTCTTATTGCGCTTCTTTCAGCTAGTTAGCGAGTTAGCATTGCCCTTCTATATACAGTCTATGGATCCGATTGAGTGTCAGTAGAAACGAGTAGAAAACGAGAAGGATATCGCTGCTTTTACGAAGGCGAATCAAGACTGTTTAACAAAAACAATTGTAATTTCACACATGACGTTTAAATTTCTTGCACATAAAGTTACTCGGCTGATTTTCAAGCCTCCACGTTGTGCAATTATCTGTTCGATCTTTTGCCTTTTAATGAAACAAATCTTTTTCTAGTTTTCATAGTAGTACATTGAACGATGCAAAAACGCATAATTCTAACATTAACGATCGATCGAAAATCTCAGCACTACAAAATGTAAGCACTTAGTAACGGAACATTTTAACATACACACATGTCAGAGAAAAGTGTTCATTCAAATGGATTGTTTAAAATGCAAAATATTATGTCATGGGAAGATATCTCCGATTTTAAAGGGGGAGTCAGCTAATTATATTGCATTTCATTTTTTAAGTAATTTCTGTTTTTGACTATTTGGCATGATACAATAAGTATTTTTCAACAATAAAATATTCAGAATAGCCCCTCCCCTTGGCATAGCAAAGACCAGTCAGATTTACTGGAGGAGAATAGTTTAACACTAGGACTGCCAGAATTCTGATAACTACAAAAACTCCCTAGCAGTCATTTTGACGGCTCCCATTAAAAATAGTGAAATGCTACAGATTTAGGGTTTCACTAGTATTAAATGGTAGTAAGTAATTCGGGTTTTATCTTTAGTACTTGCTGGTGAATATAAAGGAAACCTAGCCAAACTAAAAGCCAACTGCTAAAGTAAACGATGTGTTGCTATGGTAACTAGTGCCAAGCTGAAACTACATTTAGAAACAGAAAAATATCAGTTATGTACTGTACATTGTTAGTCTTCATAAGTAATTACACTTACAAAAACGTCAAAAAGCCGTCAAATTGACTGCTCCTGGGACTTCGTGTTAACCAATGACGAGGGGCCTCATGGATTTGAATTAATTTCGACCAATCAGGAAGCTTTGGGGTTGAGGAAGGGCAAATCTAAACTCTTTCTCTCCACAGTTAGAAACGTAACTGAAATTCACTTTAAAACAAAAAACATGGACAATTATCGCTTTGATACGTTCATTTCTCGAGCGTTTTGCACGAAGCAGAGGTTTTGTAAATCTACTGTTTAGATTATTCTGTACAAACAATCATAGCAGCGTTTTAACACAGAATCTTTCAACGTCCGAGATTTTAGAATGGGTCACTTTTTTAATATCTTTAAGTCGTTTTGGGGGGAATTTTGTTCAGTCAAATTTGAAATCTAAACGGGGCCTGCTCACTCTGGGCTGCGGTGTTTTATCAACGCAGCAAAAATTCTGGCCAATTTTTTTATTGCAAAAAAATATAAATAAAACGTAAGCATGTGCCAGTCTCAGCTAGAATCTCTGGATGAATCTGGACGGGGGAAGGCACTACTGCAAAAAGTGACCAAAGATAAGTTTGTATTGGCTTGAATCGGGCAAAATGTGTCTTTTTTTTTTTTTTTTGGTCTAAAATTTTGGGACAAGCAACTGTTGGGTTGTTTTTAAGGACGCACCATTTTGGCTTTTTCCAATACCGATCTGAACACTTCACTTTTCTATATCGGAGACTGATGTAACCGAATAACTTTGTCTGAGCAAAAGGTAAAGTTGTATTTATCCTGGGTTAATATCGGCTTGTAAATAATACCATCACGTCAATATAAAGACAGTAAATATTCCCATTTCGGCCCAAAAATCCCAAGCTTAAACCAATTTACTTCATTCAAAGCCCAAAAATTGCCTTTTATTTTATTTTTTTTTTTTGTCAAAACACAAAACTTTATGGTTCCCTTGCCAAATCTCATTATAGTCGAACCTGCTCCAGAAAAAAAAGCCTTGAAACTTATTTTTGTATGATATTTTGCAGCGTACGGGCCCCTGTGAGGAGGAGTTGTTTAGTTTCCGGCTGACTCTGTGTGCGCCCTGTCTGTCTGTGCCTTTTCGATTAGTCTTGAATATCCAAGATTTGATGTGCAGCTTGCGTTTCGTGTGGCAGATGTGAACACAATCAAGCAGAGAAAAGGCGCGTGCTGCAACCGACATGAAACGAAGTGGAAAAAGTGCTTGAAAAGAAAGTCTGGGTTTAGTTTTTAAAATGCGGATTTACTTCAAGAACAAGCAGATAATGTGGCTTTTCTTACACAAGAGAAAGGTTCATGTATGGTTTGGTTTGAGGCCTTGTCGTCCCCTCCTGAAGCAGAGACCCCATTGAAATATATTTGAAGTTTGCTCAAACGAAAAAACACCACTGATCGCTGACTTGATCTGGTTTTGGACATCATCGCAGGTTTAGAGAGAAATGCGACTGAAAACAGAACCAGTTTATTTAAATGTATTACATCGTTTTGGATCAATATTACTAAACCACAAGTGCAAAGCTGTAATTTAAGTAAATGACTTCTTCTCTCAATATTTATTACCAGGCAAAGCAAGTTTAATTGTATAGCACAGTTCATACATAAGGCGACGCCATGTGCTGAACGAAACGAGTTCAAAAACAGTTTCACAAGGCATTAAAATCGTAAATTTTCACAGTGCATTAAAACAAGAGAAGTCTGTCTCGCGTCACTAAACCTGCTTGTTCTTTTGGTAAATCATATTCTAAAGTCTGAAATTAAAGCTGGGGTACCTAAGTTTCAAGCTACAGCAATGGTGATAAGATCCGTGTAGCTATAGGTTCTGGCTCGTTCACATGTAGGGAAATATACATGTATATTTCACATCTTTTAGATTCAGATTTTTCAGACGGAAAAGTGGGAGAAAAAAAACAAGAGCAGCCTCAATTAGCCAATCAGCGCTTCGCCCAAAGCTGAGAGCTGATTGGCTGATAGGTGTCAAGTGTGCAAAAGCGTTTCTAATGAGGAGGTCTGCATGTTTTGGTTATATCTGTTAGACAAACATGTTATTTGTCAGAAAGTTTAGGTTCCCCAGCTTTAAAAAATACTTCTAAATCCAGAACTTGTGGTTTTCTCTTGTCGTTGGTCGCAGTGCCGCCGCCGGGGAATAATGCTTTTTCATTACTGTACAAATGTATGACATGTGTTGCCACGGTGATTTGTGACTAATATTGAAAAGAAGAAAACAATTATATTTTTGACGCTTTCCTTATTCCTTGAGCCTTTTTTTTTCGTGCAAATATTTTTATTGTAAAAATGAATGTTATGTTTCTATCAGACACTAATCTTGTTTTTTGAGACGTCTCCAGTGGAACTTCTTCACTCTGTTTTGATCAATATAAATCTTTAATTGTGTACTTACCATTTTGAAGAAAAAAAGGTCTGTTTGTATTTTAAATGATGTTCTGTTGCCATAGTAACTGTTTGAGAAGTCTTTACTTTGCTGTTGTGTGAAGGATTTGACTTGAACAAAGCATTTCTTTGCTATTAAAAACTGTCACTTTGAATCTGCTGTGGACTTTTCTTTGTTTTAGAATATTAGCTGCGACAAAACTGGTTTATAAAATACAGAAAGGAGAAAGGGCAAACCACTGCCCTCTGGTTGCTGCTTTAGATGAAGTTGCGTGATCAATAAAGTATCGTATCAAAATGTTTTGGATTAAGTGTAAAATGTTCAAATTAACTTTGGTTATCGTTCCCCTGCTTTAGGGAGCTGAACATGATTTCACCGTAGAACCTGGCAACCTGAATTAGAGCAATTTGACTTTTTCTACATTCTTACTGTATAAGTGTTAAAATGTTAACTTGAATAATGAGGCATCAAATCCATTCCATCCACATTAAACTAACTTAAAAGTATTATTCATGGACAGAATGTGATAAGTGGCTGACAGGGTGTGGGTTCGATTCCAATGTGGGCTTGGGCTTTTGTTTTTGTTTGCATGTTCTCCCTGTGTCTGTGTGGATTTTCTCTGGGTGCTCCAGTTCCCACCTGACCAAACCGAGCATCAAGACAGAATGCACCTTTTAGGATATGCTCATGTCCAATGTTTTTCAAATTAAGAACAAATCAGGATTAACACTTTGATCAGAAAAGGCTGTTTGCATTATGCCTTATAGGGTTTGACAGAGTAGCCTTTCTGTGCGAGTTTGTGTTCTTGTGTCTTCGTAGGTTTCCTCCGGGTGCTCCGGTTAAACCTACCTGTTTCCCATCATTGTGAGTGAGACGACAAATGCCCATAACTGTAAAGCTCTTTATGGAACTCTGGTCTGTAAAAAGTGCTATAGAAATAGACTTGTTTACAAATATACATGTCAGAATCAGAATTATGTCATAGAAGGCAACAGGAAGTCAAGATTTCTTTGGCAATAAGACGTAATAAAATACACAAAGTAGTGCATGGAAATCGAATGTACAAAAAACGTTTAGAATTGAATACAAACACATCCTTACACTTGTGAAATATGTCATTGTTTTAATGATGTGAAATAAGTAATAAATATACAAAACCATAAGTTACACATGATCACCGTTCATACAGTAGTGATACTTTAAAAACACAGAATAAACAGCAGGTCTGACACAGTGCAATGTTACAACAAACATTAACAAATCAATACTTTGAGCCCTCAGTGTTTAAACAGAATCAGTTGCAACTTTAAAGTGTTTTTATAATGTGTTTAAGTTCATGAATAACAGGCCGTTAAAAAAGCATCTTTGTCCAGTCTCTCTTTACCCCCAATAAAAACACATCGTATTAGCTTAAAGTCCGTAAAACACACAGTTCCAGACATAACAAAATACAGTTATCATGACATTTAATATTTAGAAAACATTTTTTGTATACAAATGTTAAGACACGTTTTTTGTTTATATTTCTAGTTTTACTTCCTGGTTGTGATTGATGACATCACGCAATAGATTTTACCATTTTAACACATTTATGACCATGAGAAATGCAAGTTTTGGCACAATTTTATGTATTTATGTAAGTTTAGGCTTCATACATTTCTTTTTAACTACTATTTCCAGTGGCGTTTCCTGAAGTAATCATTGTATACAAGAAATAGCTACATTTCTAGTGAAAGGATCCTCTAAATTTCCACAAATAGGACAAAACTAGGACTTAAAAAACAAAGAAAAGACAGACCAGGAAGCAAAACGTGTAACAGAATATTTTTGTTCAGGTTTGAGCAAAAAGCAACGTTTATCGAACACTGAGAACTTGAGAGAGAAAAAATACTGACGTTGAATACTTTAGTGGAACCCCTGAGGCTGTGTGGTCCTGGCAGCAGTGCATCTTGGGTGTTGTAGTCACAGAAAGAGAATCAGTTTTTTGTCTGCGTTAATTTGCCGGAGCGTTACGAGAGGCTGCGGCGATAATCAGTGTAGGATTCAGTTCTTAAAATGGATCCATCGCCCTAATGCAAAAGGCTACGGACGTCTACAAACAACCAAACCTGGCAAAACAAAGTGTGCGGTTGTTTTTATCGCTGCATTTGTGGCGCTATGACCCAGATCCACCGCCTCTCTCTCGTTGACAGAAGACTTCTCCGCAGAAGAGCTTTGAGGACTTGACTTTGAAATCCAGGCCTTTCATAAGGAATAAAACTCAAAAAAAATTCTCTGACATGTGTAAAATAGCTTCTTGAGAATCTGGCAACACACACTGGCGGTCTCGGTTCGGAAGACTAGTCCGGGATGCCAGTCGTGTGTGTCCAGTTGAGTTTAGACCTTGGTTGAAATTGGTTTGAGTTGAAGGAAGGGCTTTGGGTTTGGGAGATGTTGCGTTCCAGCTGACGTCGGAAACTCGGAATTTCCAGGAAAAACAGGAAATATATAAATAAAAAATAAAACAAAGTAACTCAGTTGGTGGAGCATTGGCCTTTGAGCCTAAAGAACAGTTTGATCCCACCACAAGACCTGCTCCCACTGACGTCTGCTGTCGTTGTGTACTTGGGAAAGACACTTAATCCCACTTTGGAGCCACCACCTGCCGGAGGATCAGCATGGGACTGGTGCTTTGAGCATTGGGTGGCAGTTCTGGTTGGGAAGGAGAAGATAATGAATGAATGAATGAATATATTTAAAACGGTCGCTCTCATTGGCAAAACTGACCAGTAAGATACGCAATTTGGAGAATATTTAGACCAATATCAAGGGAACAAATTTCAGCCAATCAGAAGTAGTTTAGGCTCGAGGTGACAAATGCGTGGATTCGTTTTTCTGCGTCACTTTAAGGAAGGATATTGCAGGTTAAAATAAGAATGATGAATCCGCTCCCCTTCCATGCTGTGAATAAAACTAGCCTGAGGGGGAGGAGTCCTGGAGGATCTGCTGAGGCGGGCGCAGGAACATCACCAGGACTGTGATGTTGTCGCTGGATCCGGCTTCTTTGGCCTGGGAGACGAGGGCCTGGGCCACGGCGAGGCCCGGCTCCTGCTTCTCCGCACCCTCTCCCGGGCTCCTGAGGGCCTCCAGCACCAGCTCGGGGACAGCGGAGGGTTGGACCGAGTCGAAGAAGCCGTCACAGGCCAACAGCAGGTAGTCCTCGTCGCCGCGCAGCTCCACAGAGGCGCAGTCGGCCTCAGACGAGACGTACGGCTTCTGGTCAAAGTCCCCTGAGGTCAGAGAGACACAATGTTATAGTTTTATCTGTATTTACTTTTCTTAGTTTTCTTTCTAGTTACACTCAAAGTTGCCCAAGTTTAAGTAATTCACACTCGACATTCAACAACATTTATGGACCAATGGCTCTATGTGTTTTTTATAATTGCATTTCTTGCGTTTGAACTATTTTATTCTCTGATCTGTGTTGGCCAATTCAACAGTTTTGAAAAGTCCTCTACTGGTGTGATTTAGAGTTAGCCTGGCCTTATCCATCCGTACACTCCGCTCAATAATCACTTCACTGCACGTAACGTCTGGGTCTGGTCCCTGTGTTAGCGATTACAATCGGTTGAATTCCATCCGACCAATCAGCGAGTGCAAGAGGCGGGTGTTGTAGTTAGTTGTGGGTGATGTCAAGAGTTTGCGCCGAACGGGCAGGTTGTAGTTTGGTAATGGCGAAGAATGTGATAGTAAAGTAATCCAGTCTGGTTCTATCAAGAAATTGAAGCCAGAACAAGAGGAATGTTTAGCAAATGTAATCGCTGGAAAAATTGCGGCGCTACTCCCCATGGGCTCCGTCAGCGGCAAAGGAGATGGCTAGGCTAAATGCTAAATGCTAATGACTCACTCGGGCACATTACATACACTACCATTCAAAAGTTTGGGGTCACCCAAGTGTTTTCCATGAAAAGTCACACTTATTCACCACCATAAGTTGTGAAATGAATAGAAAATAGAGTCAAGACATCGACAAGGTTAGAAATAATGATTTGTATTTGAAATAAGATTTGTTTTACATCCAACTTTGCTTTCGTCAAAGAATCCTCCATTTGCAGCAATTACAACATTGCACCAAAAACCAGACATTTGCAGCTAGAATAGTCATTTACCACATAAGCAATGTATAGAGTGTATTTCTTAACAGTTAAGACTAGTTTAAAGTTATCTACAATGCTTTTCCTTCAAAAATAAGGACATTTCAATGTGACCCCAAACTTTTGAACGGTAGTGTACATCACGGTAAACTCAGATCCAATTGTTTCAATCTGCAAAAGGAGTAAACCCCTCCCACCTGTTCACGGAGCTCATCCAGCAAATCCAGGCTTTAGTACGAAATGTAATTTGTACTATGGTGTGGTACGACCAGGCTAATTTAGGACTTATTATACAAGAATAAATTGAATATAACTCCAGGAAGCAGCAGCACTGACCGAAGGCTCTGGACACGGCGTACGTCCCGTTAACTCTCCAGCAGCCTCTGAAGGTCACGCAGCCGCCCAGATCCTCCACTCTCTGACGCTCGTCCTGAAACACACGGTCAAACACACCTGTCTCGTGTCTGCTGAAGTTATACAGTCACAAATGTGGATCATCGTGATGGATTTGTAACCATTTAGACCTCAATGATCATACACTGCAGAAAGAAAATGATAAAATATGAGGTAATAATTACTTGAATCAAGGGGTTTTTATTTTGATCTGACTGGACTGAGATTCTCAAAAAAACCATTTAGTCTGATTTTAAGAACTGTTGCTCTATTTTTTCATTCCAAGGGAGACATTTCTTGTATCTTTTTTGGCAAATCTTGTTTTTAGGGCAGTCAAAATGAGCTCAAATTAAGATACATTTTGCCAAATTTGAGCAATTTTAGATTTTTCATCACATTTTGCAGTGTACAAAAGTTTGATGATGCCTCAGCCGGTATGTACGACTTTTGTTGACCAGGCCTGGGTCTCACCTCTCGGTCGGGTTTGTGGGGGTCCATGATCTCCTCTTCTTTTCCGTTCCGCACTAACAGAGCCTGAGAGTCTCCAAGCCAGGCCACCAGGAGGCGCTGTCCCTGGATCAGCGCGGCCACTCCGGTCGAGCCGCTGCGCAGTCGCTGAGAACAGACCAAAAGTTTGCATTGATGTAGTATATTTTTGGATAGTGTATTCTGCTTAAACCCCGTCTCCACGTGGACAAGAGGCCATGTGCGGTACTGCAGCTTGAATTTTCCCATAGACCTCTATGTGAACTAAAACAGCTCGTCCTCCACTGACAGGGACCTACAGCTTTCACACAATCAGATTATGTCCTTTCTCATCCTGAACTTTTTTTTTCCTTTGAAATCCACCAGTTTTCTGTAAATCCACACCTTAGTGCAACAGACTCAGCTCGCACTAGTCCCACTCTCGCTTCCTTCTGATTGGTCAGAACGCTCGAGAGTTACAGAGTTACGGACGGACAGACAGACAGACCGACCGACCCCGTCCATGGTGCCAGCATGAGCCAATGAGCACAGGCCATTGATCTGAATGAGCAGATGATTTATTTATTTCCATTTGTGCCTGTGAAGCTCTTTGGGCTGTTGTTGTTGTAAATGTGCCATACAAATAAAATTGACCCGTCCGTGTCATGTTTGGCCTCTGTCCTCGGCCCGCTCACCTCTCGTTGGGCCTTCTCCTGCAGCATGGCGTCCGTTTGGCTGAAGGCTTGTTTGAAGGCCACCTCGGGGTCAGAGTTCAGCTCCGTCTGGCGGCTCAGAGACACGTGGAGCTGCGCCGAGGCGAAGGCGGCGGCGTCCAGTCCACCGTGACCGTCGAACACCGCCAAGTACGAACGCTGCACGCCGTCCTGAGGAGAAGAACACAATCGTCGCTAAAGTCGTGTTTAATTTTTATGTACACAATTTCTTGCACAAATGTTTTCACTTTTTAACATGATTTCCTGTTTGCACATTTCCCGTCTTTGCACAATCAGAGCGATCCTATTTACGCCACATTTGACATTTGCGAAATGTCTCCATTGTGAGATCAATAAAGTCTATCTTATCTTAACTCATTGACTGCCATTGACGTGTTTGTCTTAGACTGGTGATTTCTGTCAAACTAGCTAGAAACCAACTTATGTTTGCTGATGAAAGTAGACAGTCCAGTCTTTCAGAATCTGGTTTGATATTTCACATAGTCCTAGCACACAATATTCCGTGAAAGTATCAAAAACGGGTGGCAGGGAATGAGTTAATATATACAATAAATATATATACACAGACCTTAATGCATCCTTTTTGAGTGTCTCGGTCTTTCCAATTGTTTGCATTTTAATTTGACTTTTTTCTTTCTTTGGTTCTTCTATAATGTAATAAATAATAAACACAGTTGCAAATTAGGATTTATAAACAAACTTTCCACTAAGAAAACAATTGATATATTGTTATGAAAGTATAGTCTCAAAGTTCCGGCTCTGAGCAGCTCTCACTTTTTACATCTCGACTCCAACCAAAATGACTTTAACAATGTGGGATGTTGCTCAATGATCAGATCACGGAACAGAGCTGCTTTTGCGAACGTTTTTGCATCGCGAGTTTAAGTGTTTGATGAGTCAAAGGGTCAGAAACATTTCAAAACAAATAATCGAGATTCATTAAAATGTGCAAGTAAGTGGAGCTAAACTAACGAACTAAAAACAACAGAATTCAAATCATCTAGAATGTTTTTTTTGCCAATACATAGATAAATAGACTGATACTTTATTGATCTCCGTAGAAGAAATTCAGGTGTCCGATAGCAGCAGAAACGCATCCATCCAAACAAACAAAACAACTTTAGATCATTCTAAAAGTAGTAAACAATAGCAGTAGTATTAAATTGGACATCAATCGCAAAAAAATATTTATTTTTATTATTTACTATTTTTAATTATTTATTGTATCTACCCATTTACTATTGTTATTACCAATATTAGGCAGCTGCCATTTTTCTTTTTATTGTCACATTTTATTGTTCTACTTTCAATTGCCCACATAAACCACACCCTTTAACCTCTGATTTTATTGATCTAATTGAGTCTTTTAATCTTCTTCAAATTATAAATGCTCCGACCCATTCTAAGGGCCATACACTGGACCTGGTTTTAACGTTTGGTCTCAGCGCAGGAAATGTCATCACCAAGGATATCTGTGTGTCGGACCACTTAGCTATTTTATTCGACGTTATTTTAGCCCCTCAGTCTTCCTCCAATGGGTCATTTTATCACTCTCGTGTTTTTAACTCCACCTCTGCTCTTAAATTTTCCCAACTTTTTACTGCAGCCTCCTTGACTACTTTTAACCAACATTTTAGCCTGGAGGAGCAGGTCTCCTCCTGTTATCAAACATCACATAGGATTTTAGACACGATTGCACCTTTTAAACAAAGAAACCCCACCAGAACACCACAACCATGGCTCAATGAAAACACTCGAAAGCTCTTACAGTCATGCAGACAGCTCGAACGGAAATGGAAAAAATCACACCTTACAGCATTTCACCTCGCCTGGAAAGACGGTCTCAAACAATATCAACACGTAGTCAAGGAAGAAAGAACTTTATTTTATTCAAACACTATCACCCAAAACAAATCGAATCCCAGAGTTTTATTTAAAGTTTTAAACTCTATTATAAATCCCAGTCCCTGTGTTTTTAGTGATTCATCCACTGAACAGTGTGAATTATTTTTAAACCATTTTATTCAAAAGATAACAGATATCCGGACCCAAATATCTGCTCCTAGCCAAGCCACTGTTTTAAATAGAGAAACTCTGGATTTTAGTTGTTTTACAAATTTTATGCCTTTATCCCTTTCTCTTTTATCTGACATTTTATTCCGCATGAAACCAACCACGTGCAGCCTCGATGTCATCCCCACCAAATTTCTCAAAGATGTTTTTAATGTGGTTGGACCCTCCATTTTATCAATCCTTAATCAGTCCCTGGATCAAGGTCTTGTCCCATCCAGTTTTAAACATGCTGTGGTCCAACCACTTTTAAAGAAGCCTAATTTAAGCACTACAGATTTTAACAATTTTAGACCCATTTCTAAACTCCCGTTTTTATCTAAGGTTTTAGAGAAAATTGTTTCTATTCAGATTTTAGATTTTATTAACAATAACCACATCTTTGAGAAATTCCAATCCGGTTTTAAAGCACAACACAGTACTGAGACAGCTCTCCTTAGAGTTTTAAATGACCTTCTTTTAACCACGGACAGCGGAGAGTGCTCTATTTTAATTCTTTTAGATTTAAGCTCTGCCTTTGACACTATAGACCACGATATTTTATTGGATCGCCTCAAAACGTGGGTTGGCATCAGAGATACTGCACTTGGTTGGTTTCATTCTTATCTTTTAGAAAGAACCTTTGCGGTCACCATGGGTGATTTTACCTCCTCAACAGCCCCCATCACCTGTGGTGTGCCGCAAGGTTCTATTTTAGGCCCCATTTTATTCTCTATTTATATGCTCCCCCTAGGACACGTTATGGCCCGTCATAACGTGTCCTTCCACTGCTATGCGGACGACACACAGATCTACCTCCCGCTGAGACCAAACGACCCTGGAAGTCTGGCTGCTGTGGTCGACTGTTTTAATGATGTGAACCGTTGGATGGCCCATAACTTCCTTCAACTCAACACCTCCAAATCAGAAGTCCTCCTCATCACCCGCCTCCATCGACTGTTTTAATGAGGAACCGTTGGATGGCCCATAACTTCCTTCAACTCAACACCTCCAAATCAGAAGTCCTCCTCATCAACCCGCCTCCATCGACTGTTTTAATGATGTGAACCGTTGGATGGCCCATAACTTCCTTCAACTCAACACCTCCAAATCAGAAGTCCTCCTCATCAACCCGCCTCCATCCATATCCCACATCCAAACCCACCTCGGCCCCCTGTCCTCAAACATCACTCCCTCCGCCCGTAACCTCGGTGTCATTTTTGATTCTCACCTCACCTTCCGCTCCCACATCAATAAAACCACCCAAACCTGCTTCTATCACCTCCGCACCATCTCTAAGATTAAAAACATTCTCACTCCTCCCGATCTCCATAAAGTCGTCAACGCCCTCATCTTCTCCCGCCTCGATTACTGTAACTCCCTCCTCTCCGGTCTTGATGCTAAATCCCTCTCCCGCCTCCAACTGGTTCAGAACGCAGCAGCCAGACTTCTCACTGGTTTTAACAGAAGGGAGCACATCACCCCTGTTTTAGCGTCCCTCCACTGGCTCCCTGTGCGATTTAGAATTGATTTCAAGATTTTACTGATTACTTTTAAAGCTCGTTTAGGTCTGGCACCAAGCTATATTTATGAACTTTTAACCCCCTACGAGCCCCCCCGCAGCCTTAGATCCTCGGGCAGGTCCTTGCTGACCATTCCAAGGTCGAGGCTCCGGACGAAAGGTGATCGAGCCTTTTCTGTCCGGGCTCCTCGGCTTTGGAACGACCTGCCCAAGGAGATAAGGCTAGCACCATCAGTATCCTCTTTTAAATCTCTTCTTAAAACCCACTTTTATAAAACAGCTTTTAATTGTCAGCTTTAAACTTATAATGTTGTATTTTACTGTCTGTCCTGTCTGTTTTGTGGTCTTGTGTTTCCTCTGTTTGTCTTGTCTTCTTGCATTCATTCTTATTGTTTTAACTTTGTATTATGACTGATGTATTGTTTATTATGCTGTGCAGCACTTTGTAAACATTGTTTTTGAAAAGTGCTTTATAAATAAAGATTTATTATTATTATTATTATAATTGTATTATTGTATTGTTTTAGTGTCCCCAGTGTTTCCTCTGGAGGAGCCCTCTGCACTGAGAGCTGGGGTCTGCTGTGGCTTCGGGGGACTGGCTCTTGGATCCGGTGGGGGTCTGGGGCCTCCTCTCTCCTCTGGGTCCTATGGGGTCTGAGTCCTGGGCCTGGTGGGGTCTGGGGCCCCTCTCTCCTCTGGGTCCTGTGTCGTTGCCTGTGGCTGCAGCCGGCTCTCTGCTCCTGGTGCAGATGGCTCCTTGGATGACGCTTCTTCAGCCGGTTACATCTGCTCCCAGCCCCATTTCTTTTTATTGTTTTACCTATTTTACCTGATATGACTTTATACTTGTGTATATGTGTGTGTGTGTGTGTATTGTATATATAATTATGAATGTGGTTTTGGGGGGTCTGTGGGGAGGAGGGTTTAGGGCTGGGCATGTTGGATTGTTTTTAACTAAACTGTAAAGCACTTTGTGTTACACTTTTTGTATGAAAAGCGCTTTATAAATAAAATTTGATTGATTGATTGATTGATTTGAAATCCTCTTTTACATTTTTGTTAATCTGAGCCATAATGAGCTGAGTTAGTCTTACGGTGAGTCCAAACAGTTGGCTGAAGTGCGGGAGGACCACGTGCTTGTCCTCCATCTTGCGGCGGGTGTTGCGGATGGCGTGGGCCGAGACGAGGCGCTGGGGCTGCGGGGGCAGAGAGGGCGGAGCCTGCAGCCAGCGGATCGCCACGGCAACGAGAGAGTTAATGAACAACCGCTGCACCGGCTCCGAGTCCAGCACTGAAGAGAGAGAGAGAGTTATTTGGTTAAGTAGGTAAAATTGGGTAAGAAATGCAATCCTACACACAGACACAGCATATCATAAAAAGATAATTTAATTTAAATTTGACATGATTAAGTTCATCTAATCGTTGGCCAATCCTTTCACATTGACCCAATTTTGGTTCAGTCCAAACATACAGAAACTGAACTCGGTTTTTTAAAAGAATTGATCAGAAAATAATATCTAAACTAAGTAGTCCTTTTGTCAAAATAGCTTCATGACATAAAAATGCAATCCAAATATCCACCGACGCAAAGATGAGCTTCAAATATTGTAATACTTTCGGCCCCTGGGGAGATATTATTGTATAAATCCGGGCCCCGACCAAAATGAGTTTGACACTGAAGCAAATTCCTACTTTGCAAATGTGTGAAAAAGTATAAAATGTGTCCTAACAGAGAATACCTCGATGGTCGGATGTTGTTCCTTTGACTCTAATCTTTTCACAATACGGCAATTACGCAAAATTTTTTCAACAGACAGTTTGGTCGTGTGGTTTTTACAGTTTATATCCATGGAATCGGGGAGAGAGGAGGTGACGTGTGACTCACAGACTGGCTCCTGCTCCTCGTCTCGGGGACAGTGGAACATGGACAGGTCTCTCTGCAGCAGCTCTGACACCGCGGCCTGACAGAGGAGGGAGGCCAGGAGAGGAGGGCACTGTCTGAGGAGAGAGGAGGTCGTGAGGAGAGAGGAGGCTTTGGGGAGAAAGAGAGAGAGAGAGAGGGTCATGGGGAGAGAGGAGGTCATGGGCAGAAAGAGAGAGAGAGAGGTTATGAGGAGAGAGAGAGAGCTATTATACACCTAATTAACAATATTATCAAAACCACTATGAAAATAATAAAAATCAAAGACAATGGGGAGGCAGCATTTCAGATTTATACAGCTATGATCTGGAACCGTTTTCCTGAAAATTTAAGACAGGCTTCTACTCTTGACAATGTTCAAATCCAAGTAAAAATCAGTTCTGTTTCGATTTGCATAAAAACTGAAGGATTGGATCTTGACTCTTTTTAATAATGTTCTGATCTTATCTATCTTATCTATGCTATTAATGCCTCGTATGATTTTAATTTGAATTTCTTGTTTTGTTAAGCACTTTGAGTTGCCTTGTGTAAGAACTGTGTTATATATAGGGCAGTGTGCAGCAGGTGCCAGGAGAGGTCCCACCTCATCACTGCTCAAATGTGATTATACGTATCTTTCTCTCTCCCAGAGATCGCTCAGATGCCTCACCCGGTTAGTGATGAGAGCCACCGCTGAGGCCGAGATAATAACATTCATTCCATCATTCATTCATTATTTATTTACTTCTAAAGTTGAAGAAAGATGAGTGCTGCAGTGGGTCTAAACAATAGGGAAAAAATGCGTATATACATTATAGTGTATAATTTATTTTTAAACAAACGTGAATAAACTAGGGAGTGCGTAGCAAAGGCTTTTTGAGCCTTCCAACAGTCTTCTTGGGCAACTTCCTGCTGACCTGTGATAAAAACGGGGCGTGAGAGGAGCGGTTTCTGAATATTTATGGGCGTGACTTTCATAAATACGCTGGTTTTCACCGCAACATTTATGAACAGCCGCAGCTGTGTACGCTCAGGTCTGGGCGGATCTCACACGTTCATAAATTCGGCGTTGGCTCTTACGTATTTGAAATATACACCCAAAATATACACCTTTTTGTTGGAGATTTTAGACGTTTTTCCTTATTTTACTTAAGATTTTCATATTCTTTGATTTCATTTCATTTCATTTTACTATAGATATATTATTAATTTATCTTGTGTTGTGTGCTCCTCATTCCTATAATCTGTAACTTGTGATGCCACACTGAAATTTCCCCCACAGTGGGATGAATAAAGGATCTCTTAATACAAATCCACACGCCTTGCTCTGTCTTTCCCACAGCTGTGAAGAAAGGATTCCGATACAGCCCACTACGGTCAGCAGCAGTTGAACTTTTAGAGGAAACATGACAGAACAAGGAGTGGTTCAGAGGAAGAGAGCTTTTCCTGATCCACAAACCTGACAGGAGCAGACTGACAGTGTTTGAGCAAGAGCGGGAATGCCAGGAATGTGACAAGATGGAGGCCAAAACCCCAGACGGTTCTGCTCCGGTCCTCACCTCGCAGACAGCAGCCTCAGCCCCAGGTCCAGACTTTCTCCATGAAGTTCGTCCACCGAGATCTTCCTGCTCAGGGGACTGGTGGGTAAAGGGGTGTCTTGCTCAAGGGCAGCGGGGAATTCGTCTGTGAACTGGGTCAGGAAGCTGCGGGCCTCCTCCTCCACCATGGCTTCTGAGGGGGGTTCAATAAGAGTCAGAACTTATGCTGGTGATGACTGATGGAGATGAGAAAGTATTTCAACATTAAATATCTATAATAGTACAATTATGCATCATAATAAATTAAAATAAGTTAAATATAGAAATATAGTTAAATAATCACACTTGCATTTGTACCAGTCCATTTTTTTTTTTTTTTATTGTGTGGTTTAGGATGGTCGTGACTCGTGAGCTTGATTTATATCGTCCAGCAGCAAGTTTGCCTTCCCCCAAACCCTCACCCCACCCCAACTCTAACCTAAACCAAACTGGACTGTTCCTAACCCTCTCTTGAAGCCATTTTTTATATTGGGAGTCTTAAAGCAGCAGTAAGCGATTTTTGGGTGTTAATATACGTCTTAAATATTGATATATTCCAATAGCCATCACTTATATAGAGTGTTTGTACCTAAACACGGATCTCTCAGTCCTTCCAGTCTTCTCCCACCTATTTAATAAAAAAACCTCACATCCTATGCGCTTATCCAATGACGAGAGAGCACGCCTTATAAGGGGTTTCTCCCGTGTGTGCACGCGCACTCTTCAAAACAAACATGGCGGAGAAGGAAAAGCCGCCTCCAGCGCTAATGCAGACGAAATACATGGATGGATCTATTAAATACAGGCAAAACGCCAGAAACAGAGGAACGACAAAAAGTATGAGCAACATGGTGACCAGCTGCATTCATGTTGGCGACCTCTAGCTCCGTGGATTCCTCTCTCCGACTGAACAGGTGAGCATGTTACTCAGTAGTGGCAGTAGTAGTTGTATTATTTATACATATTGTTGCCTGAGACTGTAATGCAGGTTTTCACCAAGTTAGCTAGTTAAAAATCCCCAGCTGTTGTAGAAATACGGCCGCATTTTGTGGCAATAACTGCGCATTACCTTGGCTTAGCTTTGAGAAACAACAACAGACAACACAACATCGAAGCCTCAGCCATCCATAAACTCCGGTCAATTATTAGTTCCCCACATGTACAAAATTAAATGACCATATCACCAGAGTTCCCCCGTGAAGTGGTGTTAGCATTAGCGTTAGCTGTTAGCATTAGCGTTAGCTGTTAGCATTAGCGTTAGCTGTTAGCATTAGCTGTCTGTAGTTGTGAATATGATGTGGCTGCTACGATCACTTCTGATCTGTATGAATCGTTTGTTTTTGCCAATAAACATAGTTGCTTGCACTATATATATATATATATATATATATATATATATATATATATATATAATGTATATGTATATGTATATGTATATGTATATATATATATATATATATATATATATATATATATATATATATATATATATATATATATATATATATATGTAGGTCTGCATTTCATTCTTCAATGACTAAGTTTTGCAACTTGCACTCTGTATATTAGTTTTATTGTTATAAAAACAATATCTCTTTACCTCAAATCTAACTTCCGTGACCACTACATACATTTTTATTATTATGTATTGAGAATAAGTAAGAAAAGTCTTGCTGACTACTACCAAATAAATTATGAGCATGATATAATATAGACATTGTAATAATTTACATGTCTTCATTGCATTCTTTTCTCTGTATCTTTTCCAGTATGGCCTAAATCAATTGGAATGAGGTCTTCAATGTACAAGAGTTCAAAAGCCTCCATAATGCAAGTTAAATAACTATAAAAAAAAACAATGCCATAACGACTAGATACTTTTCTGCTGAGCTCTTCTTTCTCTAGTATTGACTGAAGACAAGACTTTGCTTCCAGAATTAGAAGAATGGCCATTGTCATCTCCTGAGGAAGACTTTACACCCCACATTTGTCATGTAGGTTGTTGTGAATGCATATATGGGACGCAGTGATTATGATAATGATGTTGTGATGTGTGTGTCGTTCATCCCTACAGTTGTGTTGCTGCCCTGAGGTCCAAAATGAATATCGATCATGTTCCAGGAGTCAGTGTTGACAAAACTGTCGCTGAGTTTCTTCAACAATCAAGAGGAGTGAGATAATCACTCGACTCCCAAAACAGCCGATGTAAGTGTCTTTCTCTCACAATGCACAGTCTCTCACAGTCCAAATAAACATGTTCAAGGATCCTGTGGATCAGGGGCCACTCCTGGTGACCAATAAATACTGATGTTGTTGATGATGAATATATCAAAGTCATATTTGAGTAGATAAAACTGATGTCTCTTCTATTATGTTTCAAAGGAAAATCTCTGCCAGAGGAAGACTCCAGTTCCTTCAACCTGGGCCCCTGAAGCGTGGCTGTGTGTGCGTGTGGCTGTGTGTGCGTGTGGCTGTCTGTGCGTGTGACTGTGTGTGCGTGTGACTGTGTGTGCGTGTGTCTGTGTGTGCTTGTGACTGTGTGTGCTTGTGACTGTGTGTGCTTGTGGCTGTGTGTGACTGTGTGTGACTGTGTGTGCGTGGCTGTCTGTGCGTGTGACTGTGTGTGCGTGTGGCTGTGTGTGTGCTTGTGGCTGTGTGTGCTTGTGACTGTGTGTGCTTGTGACTGTGTGTGCTTGTGACTGTGTGTGCTTGTGACTGTGTGTGCTTGTGACTGTGTGTGCTTGTGACTGTGTGTGCTTGTGACTGTGTGTGCTTGTGACTGTGTGTGCTTGTGACTGTGTGTGACTGTGTCTGTGTGTGACTGTGTGTGCGTGTGACTGTGTGTGCGTGTGACTGTGTGTGCGTGTGACTGTGTGTGCGTGTGACTGTGTGTGCGTGTGACTGTGTGTGCTTGTGGCTGTGTGTGCTTGTGACTGTGTGTGCTTGTGACTTTGTGTGCTTGTGACTGTGTGTGCTTGTGACTGTGTGTGACTGTGTCTGTGTGTGACTGTGTGTGCGTGTGACTGTGTGTGCGTGTGACTGTGTGTGCTTGTGACTGTGTGTGACTGTGTCTGTGTGTGACTGTGTGTGCGTGTGACTGTGTGTGCGTGTGACTGTGTGTGCGTGTGACTGTGTGTGCGTGTGGCTGTGTGTGCGTGTGGCTGTGTGTGCTTGTGGCTGTGTGTGCTTGTGACTGTGTGTGCTTGTGACTGTGTGTGCTTGTGACTGTGTGTGACTGTGACTGTGTGTGCTTGTGACTGCGTGTGACTGTGTGTGCGTGTGACTGTGTGTGCGTGTGACTGTGTGTGCTTGTGACTGTGTGTGCTTGTGACTGTGTGTGCTTGTGACTGTGTGTGCTTGTGGCTGTGTGTGCTTGTGGCTGTGTGTGCTTGTGGCTGTGTGTGCTTGTGACTGTGTGTGCTTGTGACTGTGTGTGCTTGTGTGTGCTTGTGGCTGTGTGTGCTTGTGACTGTGTGTGCTTGTGACTGTGTGTGCTTGTGGCTGTGTGTGCTTGTGGCTGTGTGTGCGTGGCTGCTTATGAATTATTTTGAGGAAATGTGTTCAAACAAGCTACAACATAAAGATTAACATTTTGTTAGATATCTCTGATAGTGTTCGCTGCAGCAGCGATGGATAAGGACCTGGATAGTAACAGTGTTATTCATTTGAGCAAAAAGTGGTAACACAAACGTTGCCTTACCATCACTTGTAATTATTTGTCTTAGTCTATACATTGTGTATATTTTTCCGGCTATAACTTCAAATCTTCTTTTACATAATAAAGTTTCTTAGACTCGTTACAGACTGTATTTGTTTTCCTACTATAAAACAAAGCACATTGAAAGAGGTGAATGTATTTTTTTTTTATTTTGAAATAGTACAACTACAAACATATTTCAGAACTGCAGAGTGGACGTGCACCATGGGGGCCACTGAGGACGTGCACCATGGGGGCCACTGAGGACGTGCACCATGGGGGCCACTGCGGACGTGCACCATGGGGGCCGCTGAGGAAAGCACGTTTTCAATGTCTGTTGGCACCTTTCACAGACTCATCAGGGAAAGGATCTGGTCATCAGCTTCTCTGGACAGAGGGCGTTCAGTGCTTCCTGAAAGAACCGTTATGACAAATGACTTTATATATTCTGTTACTTGTAGCTTTTCTTTCAAAGTGGTGAGTTTCCTTACAGTGTAATAGTGTAACGTAATTAGTTATGACAGTACTTTTGCGTTTCGGACAAGCTTTACTGGAATTGTTTTTCAGTCCCACATCTCACTGTACAGCTCTGATACACTTTGATTTTGTCTTCATTCTCTGAACAATAAGCACATAATACAGATGTTGATTACATCAATAAATGTATCTTTATTTTGTGACATTGAGAAGGCAGCTTCCAGTGAGATGCAGCTTTACTTTCACATAATACATTACTACAGTGTTGTCTATAAAGAACTCCAAACATACAAATTGTGAGGAAAGCAGTAATGTATTACTTTAAATAACGTTCATGTAAAGCTTTGTTGTTGTAATGTATATGCATTACATTCATCTAATACATATGCACTGTAACAGATGTTACAGTGCATAATGTTGAGACACGTCACACTGCAATCTGCAACATTATGTTTATCACAACAGTTATCAGTGTACCAACTATAAAAGCAGTATTATTCTGTAAAAGACTGGATTGTTTTTATCTCTTTCTTAGTGATGCTATCCTAGCTAACACCAAGCTGCTTCCAGTGTTATAGCTAGGTTACAACTGAGCTATTCTATGCTAATATTTCACTCCCAGAGTTGTTAATATACTTACGAGTAGACCTGACGGAGATGAACCTGCTGCTGCCATCACCAACACGATGCGCGTTCATGTGGTGTGACGAGGGGACGGGGGCGGGGCTACTAACTCGCTCAGGCAGAAGAAACTGCCGGAAACGACCAAATCGCTTACTGCTGCTTTAAATCACAAATTCAAAGACATAACTATGAAATGAAAGCGTTTGTCTGTCCAGGACAAAAGGTCAAGATTTTAGGGAGTCCAGTGGATGATCAGGCAACATAGTGTTTCAACATGATGAAATGGATTCAATTCAATTCAATTGTGTATAGCCCTAAATCACAACAGCAGTCGTCTCGACTTTACAAAGTTGTCAGCAACAACAGATTAGAGAATCAAACCATTCGAACACAGGAAACGCAATAGCAAACACATAGGAGAGTGGGATGACCAATATCCATAAATGTCCTGGAGACCTGGTCCGTAGACCCTTCTCCATCAGCAAGGAAGGACTCAAAAAAGAAAAAAACCCAGTGGGAAAATAGTGAGTAAACTCCAGAGGGCCGATATATACGAGGGCTGAAATTATTTATACTCTGGAGCCTTTATAAGTAATGCAAAGTCATTCTCATCAAAGTGCATTACATAGAAAATCAAACAAGTCTTTCTAATCATCTCACGTTATATTCTTTTCACCTTGTTTTTTTTTTTTTAACAAAGGCACACTAAACAAGGCACACTGGTTAAAATATATTGCCCTATGCAATAGTCCAGACAAAGGAGAATACTGCATGTTGCATGAGACAGGAAGTTAAATGATCATAAAAGGATGGATGGAACAATACTACCGTGGTAAATATATAACTTCTTTAACTTGTCTTTTAGCAGAAGAAAAACATGAATCACCCATATCTACATTTCTGCAGGTGACACGTCTGTAGCAAAGGAAATACTGAACACACAGAGATGGAAACATCTCCATGGAAACCAGAAGCAGAAGGCTCAGCCAGGTTTGTGGAGATGCAAGCATCACACTGCTATGGAAAAAATAAAACTTGTTTCTATTAATGTGACAAACACGACAACTTCAATTTTAATGAAATATTCTAAAATAATGTGCCCTTTAATATTATGTAGTTAACGATAGTAGCCTCTGTATGTTCGACTGAGGGGAACTCCCTTTTCCAGATCAAGGCTAAACCTGGACTAAACCCTAATAAACCTGGACTAAACCCATAATAAACCTGTTGTAAACCCAGATAAGGTCACATTTCCAACAAAAGCAGCTGCTGCAGTCAGGAGACGGACGTAGTAACCCGGTTATAACGGTGCAGCTCCGTCTGAGGAGCGAGAGGCGAAACTTTCCTCACAAAAGTAAGAATCACACAAACCTGCAGAAGAACAGCAGCAGAGGAGTGCAGTCTGAAGCTGATAACACTCCAGAAATATACAAGACAAAGTTGAGAAGTAGTTCCAAAGCAAAGATCGAGGCGTGTACTTCCTGCTGCTCTGGGTAGAAGCGTGGTGGACGCTGCACTTCGAGTCTGCAGCCAACAGAGGGCGCCATGATGGGAGCTCTACCGGAAATACGTCACCTTCAGAAAACAGACTCCAGCGATGCTCTAGCGTTTTTAAAATATATATTATTTTATTTATTTAATTATTTATTTGACTGTGCCATGAGATACAACACTAAATACAATATAGTTAATCTGTTAATCATCCTGGGAAAATACCACATACACAAGTCTTTTTTTTTTAAAATAGAAAACCTCTATTAAAAAAAATTCAAAACGAAATGTATCTATACATAGTTCCCACAGACCAATGAATGTCACATGACCTCCTCGGAGACGCCATCTTTGATGGCACGCTGCTGTGTTTGTGCATTCCATTAAACAGAAGAATGAGAATAAATGTAGATATTCAAACGCAAATTGGAAAAAAGGGCAACTTTTGAGCAAATAATTGTATATTAATACAATGGCACCACAGTTTAACGTGCTACGGACATGTTTTACATATTTGATCAAATTATGCAGCAAAAATTAACAAGCAATGCAAACATTTCTCAAAAACTTTAGATTTAATACCAGTTGGAGCTCCATTTAATTATTTTAATTATATTAACAATTAATTTAATTAATGCTAATGCCACACGGACACTCTGGATTGCTGTTATTGTTTATTTCCGCGTTTTTGACCGTATGTTTTGGTGAATGGTGGGCAACTGATTTTTCCAGGCGTAAAGAGCAGTTTATTTTATGACACAGATCTTTTTACAGAAGCAATGCTGTTTGTGAACATTGTTTTAGCCCACCATAGAACTATTATTATCTATTTAATACATTTACGTTGCCCTCGAGAGCCTCGGACGCGACACCGATCCTCCTCATAATAAAGTAATCTAAATAATGAAACTCTCAAGTTACCAGATATCAGCATACACAAGTTAGTACTGAGTAAATTACGTCTGTCAACACATTATAAGATACGATACGCACCTGACACAAAGTGCTCCGAGCATATTCTTGCGTGTTTTGAGGGAGTTTCTTGCCTGTTTATCTTCGCAAGCCATAACCTCCGTGGTTGTTCTGACAAAAGCTTAGTCTTCTCACATTCATGAAGTCTAATGATGGGTATACTGTAAAATCCAAGTTTAACGGAACCTCCGGCACGATTTGAACATCCATTGACCCAGCAGGAGATGACCATTTTCAACTTTATCACGACATTAACACGTTTCAGCTTCTTTTTCTATTGTTTTGCCCACAGCATGCCAACACAAATGGCGCCGGGTCGGCAAATCCCCGTATGTAGTGACGTCATGTGGGAACTATGTATACATAGTTCCCACATGACGTCACTACATACGGGGATACGGGGAACGTGTGATAAAGTTGAAAATGGTCATCTCCTGCTGGGTCAATGGATGTTCTAATCGTGCCGGAGGTTCCGTTAAACTTGGATTTTACAGTATACCCATCATTAGACTTCATGAATGTGAGAAGACTAAGCTTTTGTCAGAACAACGACGGAGGTTATGGCTTGCGAAGATAAACAGGCAAGAAACTCCCTCAAAACACGCAAGAATATGCTCGGAGCACTTTGTGTCAGGTGCTTATCGTATCTTATGTGTTGACAGACGTAATTTACTCAGTACTAACTTGTGTATGCTGATATCTGGTAACTTGAGAGTTTCATTATTTAGATTACTTTATTATGAGGAGGATCGGTGTCGCGTCCGAGGCTCTCGAGGGCAACGTAAATGTATTAAATAGATAATAATAGTTCTATGGTGGGCTAAAACAATGTTCACAAACAGCATTGCTTCTGTAAAAAGATCTGTGTCATAAAATAAACTGCTCTTTACGCCTGGAAAAATCAGTTGCCCACCATTCACCAAAACATACGGTCAAAAACGCGGAAATAAACAATAACAGCAATCCAGAGTGTCCGTGTGGCATTAGCATTAATTAAATTAATTGTTAATATAATTAAAATAATTAAATGGAGCTCCAACTGGTATTAAATCTAAAGTTTTTGAGAAATGTTTGCATTGCTTGTTAATTTTTGCTGCAAATTTGATCAAATATGTAAAACATGTTCGTAGCACGTTAAACTGTGGTGCCATTGTATTAATATACAATTATTTGCTCAAAAGTTGCCCTTTTTTTCCAATTTGCGTTTGAATATCTACATTTATTCTCATTCTTCTGTTTAATGGAATGCACAAACACAGCAGCGTGCCATCAAAGATGGCGTCTCCGAGGAGGTCATGTGACATTCATTGGTCTGTGGGAACTATGTATATAAGCAATTTACTCATCTATCACCCAAAAGCAATAAAAACGCACACTATTCGAAACATTTTCCATTTAAAACCACCCTTTTTTGGTACTGTGTTTATTGTAGAATTGTTGCTTTTTTCATAGCAACACTTTTAAATGACACTTAATTTAAAAGCTGACCTTTTTCATGCCAATGTCGATAGTAAAAAGATTTCCTTCTATGCAGGATATATCTATTATTCCATATGGATGAATCATGAGGGTGAAAAATTGTGCCTTTCTATCAGTTTCAAATACTGGATAACTCGTGAGATTTGAATGATTTATTCTGTGATTTAGAGATAATTCAACACACATTGGATAAGAAACTCAACACCTCAGAAGTTAGAAACTATTTTCAAACTAAACAAGACTAGAGGAAAACTAAATCTTCAGCTTGAAAATGAATATTTCGTGAATTGATTTGTTGGGCCCATACCATAGACTGTATATATATATATATATATACACAAAATGAATAGAACATAGGATTCATTGACTTTACCAAAAATAAAAAACAAAGCAAATCCAGTTGAGAATAAGGCCAAGTTGAACCAAAATTAGATAGACTTGATTAAAATACATTTGTTGCAGTAACAATCCAAAATGATTTAACCCTTTTCATTACCTTCAATAATTCTTACGATTCTCTTTCACCTGACTTACTTATCTTGGATCCCTTTCTGACCCCTTTTTTGGTTTTTAAATACAGCAATCATTTTGAAAGATTGAATGAATCCAGAACACAGGCCTAAAAGTTTGGACACGTTTATTTATATTTAACACAATTTAAAACTACACAAAATAAGCTGCCAGCGCCGCCATCTTGTCCTTGGGTTTCTTGAGATTCCCTCTGCGGCCTCGGCCCCGCCCTCGCCCGCCTCTCCGCCCGCCCCCTCTGTGGTGCATGGGGTGTCTCATGGTGGCGTGTTTGAGCTCCACCAGGTCCTGAAACACGGGGTCACAGAACACACAGCCTGAGTGTTGCGTGTCGCCGTGAGGCAGCGGAGACCGGGTCTTGTTAAAGTCCACGTCCACCAGGGAAGCGTCGCACGAGTCGCAGCTGTCGGAGGAGACCTGAGGAGAGCAAAAGGCAATAGTTATTTTATTCCAAGTCCACAGGTTCATAGAAAGGCATTTTTTTTGTTTAGCTTCCAGAGCCATGCAACTGGACTGGGGGAGGCTGGACTACAGACCTAAATAGTGATAAGGTGGGAACTTGGAAGACTTGCATAAAAGAGCCCACAAATGTCATTTGTAGCCAATAAGATAACATAAGACAAACATGTATCTAGTTTAGTCATTAGTTAGAGCTCAATTACTAGTGGACCAATCAGAGAAGAGAATCCAGCAACAGTGAGACAAATGAGAAAAATGAAAAATGTTGAGAATGGAAGGAAAGCCATAATCAACAAACAAACTTGGCATATGTCACTTTTATTTATTGAGTCTATATTAGAACAACAGTCTAAGTTTCACCTGTACACATTATAACTGGGTATGAGTTATAATGTGTACAGTAGTAGTAGTAGTAGTAATCGTAGCAGTAGTAGTAATCGTAGCAGTAGTAGTAATCATAGCAGTAGTAGTATTAGTAATCATAGCAGTAGTAGTAGTAGTAATCATAGCCGTAGTAGTAGTAGTAATCATAGCAGTAGTAGTAGTAGTAGTAATCATAGCAGTAGTAGTAGTAGTACTCATAGCCGTAGTAATCATAGCAGTAGTAGTAGTAGTAATCATAGTAATCATAGTAGTAGTAGTAATCATAGCAGTAGTAGTAATCATAGTAGTAGTAGTAGTAATCATAGTAGTAGTAATTGTAGCACTAGTAGTAGTAGTAGTAGTAATCATAGTAGTAGTAATCATAGTAGTAGTAGTAGTAGTAGTAATCATAGTAGTAGTAGTAGTAATCATTGTAGCACTAGTAGTAGTAGTAGTAGTAATCATAGTAGTAGTAGTAGTAGTAATCATAGTACTAGTAGTAGTAATCATAGTAGTAGTAGTAGTAATCATAGTAGCAGCAGCAGCAGCAGCAGCAGTAGCAGTAGCAGTAGCAGTAGTAGTAGTAGTAATCATAGCAGTAGTAGTAATCATAGTAGTAGTAGTAATCATAGTAGTAGTAGTAGTAGTAGTAATTGTAGTAGTAATTGTAGCACTAGTAGTAGTAAGTAAGTAAGTAAGTAAGTAATCTTTATTTATATACCGCCTTTCACAGACCAGAGTCACAAAGCGGTTTACAATTGTTATTATTTTTGGGCATTGGTCCTCTCACTCCACACAGAGATGGGAGCGGGGTCGCCAGTACAGGAGGCGCATGCCAGACCTATAGGGCTGGAAAGTCTCGTCCCAGAAGCACTTCCGGTTCATTGCTCGGATACAAACAAACCGTCAGCTGTTCGAAGAGGCTGTTTAAATGAATGGTGCAAAATGCTCTGCTTTGTTTTCGGCTGTTATCATCAAAGTTTACATGAAGCATGCTCATTTTTTGGGTTTCCCAAAGACCAACTGAAGCTGTGTAAAAAGCTATGCAGTTGTGATAAAACATTTTGTCTGATTTTACAGATGGTTAACTTGAATATGTATTCAAGCTAACTTGTAGCTAATGTTAACCTGTAGTGCGCTGCTGAGCCTTTCATTGTGGCTTGTATTTTAAGATAAGATTAACTTTATTGTTGTCACACAGGATACATTTATTTATTTATTTGAGAGATAAAGGAGGAACATATTAGCACATATTAAATAACATTTAACAAATGTTCAAATATAAACAGAAAACGGAAAATCATAATATTAGTAGTAAATGAATAGGTAACCCAACTACATCATGTTATTTTTGGCAGCACAGCAAAAAGAAAAAAGACCCAATGTGAAGCTGCAGTGAGTGTGAAGTGAAGATGGAGCTGATGAACAGATAGAAAACTGATCATTCATAAACATTGGCTCATAACCAACGCAGCAAAGATAGCTGTAAGGGACATCAATGTATTTGCATGGGAATAGTGTTTCTATATTGTCTTTCTGATGCATAATAGTGGATTAAAAAACAATAAGTTTGAACACGGCCCTGCACCTTTCTCATCTCCCCGTCATATAAACTTCAGGACATGGTCAGTTCACAGCTAATTCCGACCGCTCACTCAGTTTTTCTGTCCCAGAGACGAAATGTGTCCAAAATAACACAGGAAGAAGTCGGCGATCTCAGCACCATACAAGTGGCATGTGTGGTTTGTTTGTATCCGCGGGTGGAAATCTGGCAAAATCTCGCACTTCCGCTTTCCAGCCCTATTGTGCATGTTTTTAGAGGTAGGGGAAACCGGAGTACCCGGAGGAAACCGGAGTACCCGGAGGAAACCTACGCAGACACGGGGAGAACATGCAAACTCCACTCAGAAAGGCCCTGGTCCGGCCGGGATTCGAACCCAGGACCTTCTTGCTGAGAGGCGAGAGTGCTATCCACTCAGCCACCGTGCCGATTACGTAGTCGTAGTCGTAGTCGTAGTAGTAGTAGTAGTAGTAATCATAGCAGTAGTAGTAGCAGTAGTAGTAATCATAGCAGTAGTAATCATAGCAGTAGTAGTAATCATAGCAGTAGTAATCATAGCAGTAGTAATCATAGTAGTAGTAATAGTAGTAATCGTAGTAGTAATAATAGTAGTAGTAACAGTAGCAATAGTAGTAGTAGCAATCATAGTAATCATTGTAGTAGTAATAGTCGTAATCATAGTAGTAGTAGTAGTAGATTTTGATTGTCCTTAAATAAAAAAACACATGTATAGTTTGTACCTGGACTTTGTGTGCGTGCTCAAAGAAGTGCACCACCACGTTGCACTTGTTGCAGGCCATGCGCCACTTGGGTCCAGACGTCGGGTCCAGAACCAGGACTCCGGACTCGCACTCCACACACTGCGCGATGCCCAGAGAGGACAGCGAGTGAGCGCAGGTCGGGTGGGTGCACTCATTACACCCCAAACCTGCAGAGAGAAAGAAGGCAAGGAAAGTTTATTTGTATGGCACAGGTCGTACAGAAGGCAACCTAAAGTATTTAACAAAACAAGATCATATAATAAAGAATCACACAAGGCATAGAAAGATGTTAATGTTATATATTTTACATGTATTTTGTGTGTATCTAAAAGTGTTTTCTTTTTGTGTTGTTGTGTGTTGCAATTTCTTCTGTTTTTTTTTAAATGCCCAAAATCAAGACTATTTTGAGAAATATTTTTTAGTACTCCCTTAGAATTGAGTGTCCCCGATTAAGACTGTTACAACAACCGTACACTCACAGGATGAGAGCCTTTTGACTCCAAAACAGACACGATTTACATGGTTTTCAATGGGAGCAAAACTGAGTTGTCCCACGTCTGCTCAATCGCCCCCTACTGGCCAGTTTAATGAAACCCAAGAATACGCTGCACCAACTACATTATAAAAGAAAATCCATGTTCAATCAATCAATCAATCACTTTATTTATCCCCGAGCGGCAATTAAAAAGCACGGAGAGTTGCAAGTTACACGCTACATGCTAAAAATCTCAATAAACAACACATAAATACATTTACACACACATCCTGTATAAGTTAATGTTTGGAACGTTTTAACACTGCACTGGGGAATGACGGGTCCGAGTTCAGCAGCTGAGTCACTGTAGGAACAAAAGTGGATTCCCTCCTCTGCGTCCTACATCCCACCGAGCGCAGCCTCCTCCCTGAAGGCAGCCACTAAATGTTGTCCCCATATAGGCCAAACTTGAATATACGTTGCAGGTTTTAATGTTGTAATGTAGCAGATAGAGACTGTTTTAACTGGACACAACATGATTTCCTCCCCAGGTGTCTAACAGCATTACTATTTTGACAATTAACAAGTGTTCTGTAGCTACTAAAACTTGATGGAGTCGAAACAATAAGTCCATAACTCTGCTCTGACAACAGCCCAACTCTACCACAAGCGGCTTACAGTCCGGAAATTACAGTAATTAATTATCTTCTGCGTATGAGGTCATGTGACTTTCCTCCAATGGCTGAGGGGGAAGACACGTTTAACAAAGCAAGCCGCGCCTGCCCTGCTCTTAATTATGTCCCAGTGTCGCCTGCTTTACTAGCTCCACACTACTCACATGGGGAGTCTGAAAAGTAAGTAACTAAGTAAGTAATCTTTATCTATATAGCGCATTTTTACAGACCAAGACCACCCAAAGTGCTTTAAAATGTTAAGAGTTCAAATATTTTTCCACCAGAAAATTATTAAAGCCCATTCATTCGTTACATTCAGACCAATTGTGCATGTTTTTAGTGGTAATAATAAAACAAATAATAATACATCAAACTTGTATAGCGCTTTTTTGGACACTCTAAGACGCTTCACATGGGGAATGAAATACAATAAAATTAAAAAAGGGGGTTTACGGAAAAGCTTGTTTGAAAAGATGGGTTTTGACAGACACACTCAGAGAGGCCCTGTTCTGACCCGGATTGGAACAAACCCGGACAGAGCGGTGTGGAGTCGAGCTCATGCGATAACGTCTGAAGTAAAAATATAGATTGCATGTGTATCCGCAGAGCCAGCCGAGCATGTACCTTTCTTCATGTCTCTGAAGGGCGGGTTGCTGAAGCAGTACGGACACAGCGGGTAACACTTGCCCCGGGCCCCTGAGGTCCACAGCACCAGCTCGAAGTCGTCCAGCGGGCACCTGACAATCACAGCCGACAGTAAAAGGACAATAGAGATACAGGTCAAGGTTGAGTTTATTTATGCAGCACGTTTTAAAAACAGACACGACTCCCACAAATTGCTTTGTAGACATTAAAAAAATAGATGCATACGAATAAAATATAGCGTCAATTAAAATACTGGTCTGCTATCATCAAGAGTTTCATTTTAGCTTGAGTAAAAAGCCACAGCAAATATACAGGGACATTTCTTCTATAAAATGTCTCCAAAATCGGGTAAAAAAATCAAACTGAAGCCATTTGGAGAACAAACAAATGGCTGGGCTCTTCGTGAAGCGGAGGCCCTGTAGTTTTGGCCTCTGATGACTCATTTTACTCTAATGAATGTGGTTTGCTGGTTTTGTCTTGAACGGGTGAGAGGGGATTGGAATAATAATCGTCTGCTTCATTCATCCCCATTTCAAACCATGCACAAGTAAATAATATGCGTCAGAAAACCAAATCCTCCTCCTACTCCAATGTAATTGATAAAGACGCATGGAAACCTGTGAGCGCCAAAAGAGGTGTCAAAAACCAGTCCGAGCTGCATGTAAACACGTGAACTGGATCCTTATGAGACAGCGAAAAGTGATGCATTTAAGAGCAAAGGGAATGGTCACTGGAAATGAGATTTAGGGACCAGGACTAATGCAAAAATCTCCAAATTGAACCAATGTAAAAACCTTATTCGCCTCAAAACAAAACAATAATTGGACTATATTTTCAGCGAGTTTGGGGTTAAAATTGGTCCCAGAATCTTTCATATTTTCAAAAGTTTGACAGTTATATTTGTATCAATTGGAGGCGAAGGTAAAAAATGTGGCGGCGAGTCGGTGTGGCACGTACTTGATCTCTTTGTAGAGTTTGATGGCTCCGTTCTGAGGCAGGCTGTAGGTCTCGTCGCAGTGGGAACAGTGCAGGCGGCTGGGTTTGGCCTAAAGGGAGACTCATGTTACGACAGGTCATTCAATCAATACACAGTGTCATCCAGCCAACTTCAGCTCCACCAGAGTCCTCTACAATACATCATGTCAAGATAGTGTTCCGTTTGTCTATCTTTGGTTGCATTTAATGAATCAATGTTGTAGTCACCACATACAATATGTATTTTGTAGCAAAAGTGTCCACATTATTTGAAATGTAATTGTAATATGTGATGTATTTTAATTTACTCAATTTAAAGAAAGAAAGAGTCATGTTGCAAAGCTCAGAACCTATGGAATCCAGTTTTTTATTTTGTCACAAAAGTCATTCATGGCCCAAATGTAGCTGTGGTCAAACCCCATTTTAAAGCCTACAACAGTCGTATTCAATACAAACAACTGAGAAAATGTGAAAATCCTCATAGTTAATAACAACTCGTTTGCACCATGAGCCAAAGCAAATTCGTAGTTTGTGATTTCCTGTTATTACAACAGCAATAAAAACCTTTCTGAACAACATCAAATGAGCACAGAAAAGTTTCATTGAAAAAAATGGATTGTACGGAAGTGATTGAGCAGAGCGACCGAGGCTTCCGTTCACACAAATGTAAATGACACAAACTGATGAATAATGCACGAGTTAAAGTGGTTCAACAGAACCACGTCAAGCCGGGTTCTGAGCTGAAGGCCACAGGAGCCGAGGAGACGTGTGTGTGTGTGTCTATGTATCCGTCTCAATCCATCTTTTGAATCAGAAAATTACATGACACTAACAAGAGCAAACCAACACATCAACTCTTGACATAAAACAATGAAGTCAACATTGAGATTGAACATTGAGGCTGAACTCTGAAATATAAAAACAATCTGCTCTGTCCTGGAGCGAGCTGTCCTTGCTTACATCTGTTGGATGTCTCCCATCTGACAGAACAACAGATAATATGTGCTGTGTTTGAATCAAGAGCTGAGGATTAGTTAATGACTAATTAACTAATTAATGACTAACTATTAAATTAATTCAGTTATTCAGATTGCTTTCTATAAGATTTAATAGAAAACCCAATGATTGATTTCTGATGTAAATCAGTCAAAAGTTGGAGCCTTAAAACTTTATACGAGATGTATTCAAAGTACCTGGATGTACTTCATGAAGCGGTGACACTTCCCACAGCGAGACAGAGGTTTCCCGGAGGCGGCGATGGGAGAGAAGGACACCTCCATCAGCTCGTCCATACCTGAGCACAGAGAGGGTGAGACGGTATAAACAACAGATCCAAAAATAACCTGGACATGAAAAGGCTGCGTGTGATAAACGCGTCTTCAGCAGGACCCACTGTTTATGGAGTCGAAAAAGTAGTGGAACTTCCTCTTGAAGATGTCGAGCGTGTGCTGCAGGACCTGAGAGAAGTCGGCTTTCCCCAGAGCGATGAGGTTCAGCTGCTTCTCCACAGCGCTGCGGATGGTGGGCAGCACCAGCTCCGCGTCTGTGAACGGGAGCAATCAGTGCATTCGGACATTTGATTCAGACTGTACAACGAGGACTACTGAGTGCAAACAAGTGCAACTCAAAGATCAAGATCAAAACATCAAAGATCAGATAATAGCGATCTCAACCAGGGCTGGCCAATCTGGGAAAATGTTTTACTTCTTTATGTTTTCAAATATTTAAACAAAACTGGAATGCCGAAACATATTTATATCACCAAACTTAACTAACTCTGCGTCATAGTTAAGCCAATCACAGATAAAGTTAAAGACAGAGGAGTGAGAGCGGTAAACATTTTTAAAAAGATAAGCTAAACCAGTAAAAAAAAAAAAAAAAACCTCAACAAATATTTGCACATAAACAAAAAATGCAGAGAAATAACAGAACTGTGAATGGTTGGAATATGCTGCATTGTATTTTTGGCTTTTATTTAGTTCATTTTGTAAACACCACATTTCCTGTTTTTTTATCTGCCCTGTTTGTTCTTGTTCTCGTTTATAAATGTGAAAAATCTCAATGAATACATGTTTAAAAAAGACATTTAAAAAAACATGTGATTGGTGTCTTTCGATGATAATACAGATTGTGATAATCGCAATCTTCTGAATTTTTGGAACAGTTTTAATCAAACCTAAGTGTTCTCCTGCTTGAGCACCAGTATTTAAACATTTTCAATACAAAAAAAATACAATCAAAAATCTGTATTGATGTAAAAGAACTCTCTCAGTTGGAAAACATGACCTTTTCACTGAGGCTGAAACAACAGAATTCGATAGAGACCGATAGAAATGTTTTTAATGTCATTTTGATCAGGATGCACACGTGGTTACTTTTACTCTGTAGAGGTGTGGTTGAAATGTAATCATTTGTTTTGGTAATTATAATTTGACTCTGGCTTTGTTGTAAAAAAAAATCCTAAAAAATAATAGTAAACAAAATAAAAATGGGATTGCTCATTATGAGGCAAAAAATCTTGGTTACCATTAGCTCACTCATCCTTAGGACTATGGGATGTTACGGTCATAGCACATAAACCTTGCTGCAGGATTATATGGAGTATTTTGGGTCCGTACCGATCCTGTAGTAGCCGTGCACCAGGACGATGCCCAGGTTGGTGGGTTTGAGTTTGCGTCCGTTCTCCACAGTCACATAGTTCCTCTGACAGATGTTATTGATGTGCACCGGGATACTGGCGTCTGTGCCTAAAACACACAATCACGTTCAAAGACACAAGCTCAACACAACAATGAAAATTACTGAATTACGTCTGAGGCACTGTACGCAAAATATACGTCCAGGGAACCGGACTAAGTTAATTGTAGCCAGAAGCAATTGTTACCAAGAAAAATAGGTTTCCAAGATTGATTTTCTAATCTGTTGTTGGCGAATTAACAACTTTGTAAAGTCCTCAGAGGTTTGAGTTCTCTGTTGTGATTTAGGGCTAAATTTAAATTCAAATTATTCACTGTTTTGGAGATAGAACTGAGTCTTTACTAGAAGTTGACCAATATTTAGGATTTTATACATACAGCTATTGGTATATGCTACCATGGCAATTTTTACCTTATTTTAAAGGAGCAGTATGTAAAAATCTGACCAAAAGTGGAACCTCTTCCACTCTCCCTGACTCAGGTTGCCAGATATAAAGACAAATCCAGCTGGAACCATAATAGCTGTATAGACAAGAGTTTTGTCAACAACCAATCTTTAACCAACACCTTTTTCACAAAAGATAGAAATCCTGGTTTTATTCCTTGTTTTGTTGTTAATGATTTGAGATTCATAACAAGACCTTTTTTAGTTCTGCAGCCACATGTTACTTTACCAGTGAGATTAGCTCGACTCAGTGAGATCTGGCAACCCGGATCATGGACTTTCTGATTGGTAAAACGGTGGAGGGCGGGACATCAAAATTAAAACAATAACAAGATTTAGGGGCAGTAAAACTCATTTTGAAATTTGAATATCTCGACTGAACTACTGTTTTCAGTTAAAGAAGAATTCAAAAAGATCATGGTTTATTAATGACTTTAGAAATTGCTACTTTAAAGATAGATTTTTCTGATATAGCGGTAACTACTGTTGTGATTTAGGGCAATACAAAAATTAATTGAATTGGTTTAACGTGTAGATCTAGTGTGAGATTGAGCTGTAACTGTGAGTGTCTTTTACCGACGCCGTGTTTCTCCATGAGTGTGATGAGCTCGGCTTCGGTGAGGTACTCCGGGGGGCTGGTCTGACGCTCCACCAGCCGGATCTCCTCCACGGTGAACAGGTCTCCTCGGTCACACACTGGCAGCTCCTCCTCCAGCGGAATGCCCTGCCACGGCATCACCGTCGTGAAGCCTGAGGGTCAAACATCAAGATGAGCAGGTGAAATCACAAACTACTACAAAACTACTACAAAGAACTGAGAGATGGACAGACACAGATCAGAGAATGTGGAGAAGACACCGGAAAATTCAATTGAAAAGGATTCAAACTCAAAATGTCTTACTCCCGGTAACGAGTTTGTAATCCTGAATCCGGGATGGTATCGTTTTGTTTTTCTTGAGAATCACATGGAGTAAAATCTCATCTAAAACTCTAAAGCCCAACGCACACCGAAACGCCTTGACGCGCGGCAAAAGAGCCGCCTCCTTTATTTTCTATGAGAGAACGCACACCAAGGTTGCAGTGACGCGCGGCGACGCTGGACCGGGCGCCACGATTCAGTTTTGTTGAATCCAGACGCGGCGCCGCGGCTGAAACTGTCCCTCCAAGCACCCGTAGTTTTCTTCTTCTGCGCTTCTTATCACGTAGCTGTGAGCGCGGTCTCAAATTTACACACTTGTCGGCGCTATTGCTCAAGTAAACCGGTCACAATGGACGAGGAAAGCTTGATAACCCAAGTACAGCGTTACCCAGAGCTATTTAACCCACAGAATCCTTTTTATAAGGATATCGTGCGAAAGGAAATTGCCTGGAGAGCAATTTCACTTGAAATTGAATGTACAGGTAAGCTAACAATAGGTAATTGTAGCTATTTTATTAAAATATTAGTAGAAACTTCCAAACGTCACTCACCCATTTCATCTGCGATCAGCTGGAAAAGGACGCTAGCCAAGGCGTTCCGGTGTAATTTGACACATGTCATGAACGCGCGTCAAATGACGCGCCGCGAGGCGCTGCGTTTCGGTGTGCGGTGAGCTTAACCTTAATTTCCGACCAAGACAGGCTTTTGTGGGATTTTATCTTTACTCTTTTTAATGTACAGTGATTATTTATAATCTGAATGCCTTGTGTGGCTGTTTCTCTCTCGTCTTGTTTTGTTCAGCACTTTGAGTTGCCTTGAGTATGAATTGTGCTATACAAAAAACCTTGACTTGCCTAACCTGCACAACTCACTTTCACGTAACTCAACAGCTATCTATCTATCCATCCATCTATATCAGTAAAACATTTACTCCAATAGGGAAGGGGTGTCAAACTCATTTTGGTAAGAGCGAATAAAAAGACTAGGAAGTAGCCCGGGATCGAAAGAATAGAAGGGATTTCCTTTTCTTACATTTATTTTTTACATGAAGTTATTTTGACATTTTTCTTTGTTTAGATTCAACCAGAAAAAAGAATGTAAACGTGGCTTGGTAAACCTATAACTACCATCAATGCTGCAAGTTATTAATAATCATTGAATATTATTTAAGAAGCCACTAAAAATTTGTCTTGAGAGCCGGATTTGGTCTATAAGCCTGGGATTGACAGGTCTGTCCTAGGAGATTGGCAGACCAAGAAATTTCATCCACATTCGGGGCTCTTAACATAACAGACACACATACAGAGGTCCCTTGGTCTTGGCTGGTACCTGCAGAGATGAGGGTCTTCCCGGTGCAGGTGAAGTTCTCTCCTCCGATGGTGAAGTAGATGGTGGTCTGGAGATATTTACAGTCCTGGCTGATGGTGGAGATGAAGTGCCTGGTGATGTAGTCGAACAGACGCCAGCCGTCGCTGCCTGAGGGTCGGACACAACACAATAGACGGATTACATTTAAATGCATTATTATTAATTACTCAGTCCATATTTCATAATCCCTCACTGATGCATGAGGGTTTAAGGACGCTATAAGATCTATATTGTTGTATTTCTTATGTGTCAATTCTGCGACACCCTTCGAGTTGATGTGATTGGGGTTTTTTGGAATAAATACATTTATGGATTTGATATTAGTGCGATGGAGACTTGTCGTTTTGTGTTTTGCTGGAAACCGGATCTGCCAAGAAATTGTACGCATTAATTTTGAACCAAATTTGTAATAAAACTGTTCACATCTGTCAGTTCATGATGTAGAATATGAAATCAAATGTTGGGTCGAAAATGTATGGTGGAACAAGTATGAGGGGTTGAACATTCTTTATGCCTGTAGCTCCCCAAGTTACCACCAGAGGGAGGTGTTAAAATTGTTTAGATTTTTTTTACCAAAATTGCAAATTATCAGTTGCAAATTAAAGCAATTGTGACGTAATTTCACTTGAGAAATAGCCATTTATGAACAATACTTTAGTTTTAAAGGCAGAAAACTGCTCTGAGCGTGATGTCATAGTGGTGCAATGACATCATACTATTACAGGACTTAGACAGGAGCTTTTAGACAGAAGGGGCGGAGCTACATGTTTGTGCAAGAAGTTGTTAATATTAGTGTGCATGTTTTGATGAGAGAACAGTAGCATGGTGAAAAGCTAGAAAATACATTTTGATTTAGCCTAATATGTCTTCTTTAACGGTTATATCCAAATAATCGTGATAATAAAACATCTAAAACATTGTCTTGTGAGTGGTCTGACCCAGCTCGGCCTCGCTGGCGGCCCTCATGGGGGTGATGGGAGGGTGGTCCCCGGCGTCGGTGCCTTTCCTCGGACGATTCAGACCAGACGCCAACAGCTCTTTCACCTACGACAACAGGAACGAATCTCAAATCAGTCAATACTGTGTTTTGTGCACATTTCAGTCCAGTTTTAAAAAGTGTTGGAAAAATGACTGTTTGACGCTGTGAGGCTAACAAAGAACACATACTTATTATCTTTGGATCACATTTCTGCAGCAAATCCATGAACGATTCTTGTGGTCTGATTTGTGACTTGATTTTATATTTATAAAAGCCTACATTGATGTGAAACTCCAACTCAACTATATTCCAGATCCATCAATCACTTTGCAATATGAGCTGCGAGGTTCCAGAGATTTTGAACAAATAAGAAGTACCGAAGGCTTAAAGCTTGTTCGAGGCTGATCAGATACAATATGTGGTGAGAAATGACCACAAGCCCTACATTTATGTTAAAAGAATAGTATTTAAACTTCAAAAAAAAAAGTTTCAAAAGTCACTTCTTTTTCATGTTTTAATTTTTGAACACATTATCATATTTTATTTTAGGTTCTGCCCTGGACCTGTGTGCTTGTTGGTTTATGTGTGTAATTAAGATTGAGAGATCCCACAGAGGAAATTTAACATTTTAACTGTGCTTTTTAGGTTGAATACAACCAAGCTGTGGGTAGTAGTTACCACAACACAAGATAGCCTCTGTTGCGGCTTCCATCTCTTAATATTAGGATTTTTCAAAACTCCTTTCATATGTAAATTCTTCTTCAGGAAACCAGACTGTAGTGACTAGTGTGGGTAGTTTTTGCTGAGCTGTTTGTTCTTTGCTTTTACATGACCGAGGATACAACTGTACAAACTCTCACCTCTTCAGCCCAGTGCGGACAGTTGGCTTGCTGCTTGAGCGTCCCCTTGAGGTCAAAGTTTTCGGGGTAGTGCGTGGTCTCTGTCCGGGGATAACTGATGTATCCCTGTGTGTAAAGTCGCTCTGCAATCTGCATCGTGTGCTGTGGACCCATCCCTGAAATTACAAGGAACATGTGAAGGAACAAAACAGGGCTACCACAAACATAAGACTGGATTAATTTTGTGTAACGTGATCCATAGCATTTAACTGAACAAAACAAATCCAGTCAATGCTAGCGATTGTAGTGGATTGTATGACATTTGGAATTACGAGTGAATTCAATAGACCTCTCAATCAGTGGCACGAGCGCTGGTGTGCACCATCTTGTCCGCACTGGGGTGGAGTCTTGCAGTTTTTTCAATGTGGTTTAAATTCTTGTATCTTGAATCTTAAATCAGGAGCTAGGTAGATGAAGGTACTACCACTACTATCTATAAAATTAGCCGACAATGGGGGAAGGCATCCGATTGTTCTAAGTATTATTGTTCACATCTTGATTTTCAAGCCAATTGTATATGTATGAACCTGGAAATATTTTATGATCAGAATGGTAAGCAAAGAGGATATTTAATAGGTATTTGTAATCTATAGAAATTGGGTCCAGTTGTAGCAGAGCTAAACTGTGCTCAGTTACTATCAAGTTCACTGCAGTCTGAGATCTGCAAAAAACAGGATTAAATCAAGATTAAACCTTGGACTAAACCAAGTCTCAACATTGGACAAACCATGTCTAAACTCTGGACAAAACAGAACTAAATCAGGACTAAACAAGGTCTAAACCTTGGACTGAATATGGACACAGGACTTGGACTTGCCCAGAGCAGAACTGCCGACACGGAGCATCTCCACGGTGTTTAGAGCCTGAGGTCTCTGTTTGGCCTTCTCCTTTTTACTCACCGACTCCACCTGCAGAACAAACTTGTGTGTGTGTGTGTTTTATCACAGATTGACATGATCTAGGGTAGAATCCTAGTATAAGACCAGTGCTGTACCTTGGCATCTTTGGAGGTTTTGGCCAGATTCACAAACATTTGTCCCACATCTCGATCGAAAACTCGCACACGGCTCCAGTCCAAAGTCAAAGGGTTGTCCTTCCCCTTAAACACCTGAGCCATAAACACATGAGTCCTGGATCAGTCTCTGCCTCAGTCTCTGCCTCAGTCTCTGCCTCAGTCTCTGCCTCAGTCTCTGCCTCAGTCTCTGCCTCAGTCCACGGTTCAGTCTCTGCCTCAGTCTCTGCCTCAGTCTCTGCCTCAGTCTCTGCCTCAGTCTCTGCCTCAGTCTCTGCCTCAGTCTCTGCCTCAGTCTCTGCCTCAGTCTCTGCCTCAGTCTCTGCCTCAGTCTCTGCCTCAGTCTCTGCCTCAGTCTCTGCCTCAGTCTCTGCCTCAGTCTCTGCCTCAGTCTCTGCCTCAGTCTCTGCCTCAGTCTCTGCCTCAGTCTCTGCCTCAGTCTCTGCCTCAGTCTCTGCCTCAGTCTCTGCCTCAGTCTCTGCCTCAGTCTCTGCCTCAGTCTCTGCCTCAGTCTCTGCCTCAGTCTCTGCCTCAGTCTCTGCCTCAGTCTCTGCCTCAGTCTCTGCCTCAGTCTCTGCCTCAGTCTCTGCCTCAGTCTCTGCCTCAGTCTCTGCCTCAGTCTCTGCTTCAGTCTCTGCCTCAGTCCACGGTTCAGACCTTTGCCTGTATGACCCAAAAAGTCTCTGGTTTGAAGGACTGGATCTTGTCGTGCCTCTCGACGCAGAACCCGAGCGTGGGTGTCTGACACGGGCCAAACGAGATCAGAGACGAGTCCAGGTTTCCATATTTCCCCTGGAAGTACTTGGTCTGGAATCTGCAGCACAAACAGGAAACAAAAACAATATACAACACAGCAGATGGATCCCAAGCAAACTTGAAGCTAAATTTACAAAAGAAGTCGCATCCACTGGGTTTGTGTTTTTAGTTTCCGCACCGTGTAAAAGCACACCCGATGCGGAGGTCCAGCTCCTGCCGTGCGTCCACAGACAGAGCCTCGTTCTGGTTGGGGGTCCCGAGCTGGTTCATGGCGGCCCAGATGTCGGTGTCTGTGATGGAGCTGAATTTGGCCCTGAACACGGTCTGCTCTCTCCCCCCAGGTTTAGTCATGACCGGCTGCACCGCGTCCAAGACCTGCCCCACAGAAAAAACAGTGTTGAAACCTCACAAAAACATGATTAAACTATTCAGCTATTCTATTTTCCATTTGCAGTAAAACCACATTGGAATACATGTGCAAAATGTACCTCAGTGTTCCCTAGAGTCGACATGAATAAAATAAGCTAAAAAGTACACAAAACAATTATTACAGTGAAAATAATCAACAGGTACAATAACAAGTGCAAGATCATTAAATTGCTGTTAACAACTTGAGGAAAGAAGAATATCCTGCATCTCAGAAAACTATATATTTTGCCAGAGGGAAGAAGCTGGAACATGGCAAAGCACCTTAGATTTAGATTTTAGATTTTAGATTTTGAGCTCTTTCTTTTTTCTTGGGGCGACAGTAGCTCAGTTGGTAGAGCATTGGCCTTCAGGCCTGAAGGTCGTGGGTTCAATTCCCACCTGTACACCTTCTCCACCGACTCCCACTGATGACTGCTGTCGTTGTGTCCTTGGGCAAGACACTTAACCCCACTTTGCCCAAAGCCCCCACTGAAAGATCAAGGCTATGCTCACACTCAGAGAGCAGCCGCCCTCCTGTGGACTCACCACCTGCAGCGGGTCAGTGAGGGGCTGGTGCTATGAGACTTGGGTGGCATCTCTGATTGCCACCCCCCTGACCCAGAAATGGATTAAAGGGTAGAAAATGGATGGATGGATGGAGCTCTTCTTTCTTTGTCTGTGATGTTGCCGAACCACACAGTCAAACTTTCAATGGTGCAGCGATAAAAGTTTAACAGAATCTTATGAGTTTGTGGTGAATACCTCAAAGCAGATGTTCTCTCCCTCTTTGTCACAGTCCAACCACAGAACAACGTAGTCACAGCCTCGAGCCTCAACCTGCAAAGCCCAACAGCACACTCGAGTTAGCAGCTGTTCTCGGGAAGCAGTTTCCCTAAAAAATATATTTAACCATTTCTTTAAGCTTTGAGCAGTCAGTGGTCTGTTAACATAGTTTTTTATTTTGTTTTTTTAGTCTCCCGAAAGTAAAAAAAAGAAAGAAATTTGGACTGTTTATTCACTTATGGTAGCTAGATTGTGAAGTTGAGCTGTCGAACGATGTAAAGTTACAAAACCCAGGATTGACCCTATTATCGCCAAAGCAGCAGAATTAGTAGTAGAATTCCCACGAGCTCCTGAATCCAGGACACTTTCTATACAGCAACCTGGCTTCACAAAACCGTTTATGTACATTCTTCTTTATTTCTGTTATTGACCACCATTTGTGTCACAAAAAAAGAATCAGAACATTTTCTTCAGGGCTGTTTTAGAGCCGATTAGAGCTAGCTCGAACAGGCTACTTGAGCAAATGTTTTGTAAATGTTGTTGCCAATCGACAATCAGGAGCGGCGCTGGTCTGTCCCCATTTGTGCAACAGGCTAGCTAATACCAATTTCTGCACCAGAAGCCATCAAACATATCAGACATATACATCAGTAAACACAAAGATATTGAAAATGTTAGTGCTTGAGCAACATCTGAGACCCGAGTTCATCAGAGAAAAATAAGAAAAATAGTACTAAAATAAAAGTAAACTAAAGTAAAACTCAAACATGTATGTTGCTTTACATGATCATTACAATAGATTCAATTATACTTTTAATTAGATTAGAAAAGGATTTTACATCACTGGGAAAATATTGGTTTTGGCTGGACACACTCAACAGTCCATAAAGTGAATGAAGTGAGGTTGAACCTGGAGGAACTTGACCATGCTGAGTTTGGGGTTGGCCTCTTTCTTCTCTGTCGGAGCTTTGCTGAAGAGCTCGGCCGGATCCACTTTGTCCCAGTTATTATATTTACCTGCAACACAGACACTTTGATGAAGAGGGACATGACCCGATTCTGTTCTCCACGTTATGATAATTTATAACCGGGTCTTTAATAAAAAAAAGAGTTCCTATAAAATCTTTAGATTGAGCAGCACAATGTTAGAAATGAAATTGCTGCTCAGAAGACAAAATTGGGATTATATTTGATAATGGAGTAAATCCTCCTCATATCACAGATTACAAAAAAGAATAAAATACGTAGAACCGGGTAAAGGGGCTTGTGGCTGGTACTCATAAGTCCTAGGACTGAGGGGAGAGCAATGGAGGCGCCATTAAATATTATCATGGAGACAATAGAGGAACGTAAATAGATAAATCATTTTAGATTCATAACCTCTGCTCAAAAACACTTGAGATATTTTACAAGAACATTTTTAAACAGAGTCAGAGTAGATGGAGAGCGGATTGATAACGGTAAGCTATACGAGGATAGGATATAATACCTCAAACATGAAAGAACCACTTCTAAATCAGCTTTGAGGGTGTACAAAACAAGGGAAAACAACTACGCCATGGCTAAAAACTGACAAAAAATAATGTTTAGGTCAGTTTTAGTGGTGACTTTACTCTACGTTCACATGAGTTTGTTACCGATGAAGTCGAGGCTCATGACGTGGCCGCACACCGACGTCATTTTGAAGCGAACGCTCTGTGACTGGAAGGAGCCGCTGTACTCGTGCACTGAGCATGCTCCGTTTAACCCTTTTCGGCTTGTGCAGCTTCCTGAAACATAACAGAAAAACAGCAGATATAAATGATCAGTTATCGATACGCTTTCTTCATTAAAGCTTTAAAATCTCAAAAGATACGAAAAAACTGCAATATAATCCATGTCACACGTTTAATACTGTTATCATTATTATTAGTAGTTTTATCATTATTTCTGCAGCAGCCAAACATGGATGCAAGTTTAAGACGATGTACAGTACTTGATTTAAAAAGCCTGTTTCACTGAATAATTATTTGTGAGTTTACAAGCACTTCTCAGGATCACAATAAAACTAACAGCAGCTAGCATGCTAACAGCCCACTTCCTGGATTTCATAAAGCAAAACAATAACAGCCCGTAGTGTCATTTTGATAAGGAGCAATGCTTTTACAACATATTTTTCAATATAATAGACAAATCTTCAAACTATAAATGCTTTAGTGATGGGGAGAGGTGTAGGGTCAGAGAGTGTTTGGGCTTGTTTGAGAGCGTGTGTGTTTTATGCTGTATGAGTAAGAGAGACTGGAACCAAATAAGTCGATATCAGTCAGGAAAACTCAGGCCATCACCAATGCCAACGTGTTTATGTCATGGGTCTGAGGTCGAATGCAAATCTTGACTTCATCTGAAATTAAAATGATTGAGTGAAGGCCAGCACTAATGGACCAGCCAGACAATTAACACACAAAAAAGAACTATATGACGATCATTGACCAAAACAGCTTTGTCGATGGTCATTCAGAAGAAATAGAGCCAATCGTGGGACAGAAATGACCCAAAGGAAGTTAGATCGGACCAATTAGAGCCGAGGAAAATACGTTGACGCTCAAGAATTACGTAAGATTCACATCAAAAATAGTATAAAAAGATGGAAGTTTGAGTCCTCCAATGCAGCATCCAAGAAACCAGCACAACAGCAGGACAGAACCAGGACCCAGGACAGAACAAGGACCGCGCCAACATTCCAGACATGCAAAAGACACCGGTGAGACTCATCTTATGTTTTTAATGCTTATCAAATGCATCTTTCTTCGTCTTCAAATCATGAGTCGTTCAAATTGTGGTACACCATTGAACTGGACGATTCCAAGGGTAATATTGCATTTTAATGAAATCTTGTATGAAGAGCATGTATGTAGTACTGTAGCTAATATTCACCTTTTTATAAATGCATGTTAACCTTTAGCTTCAGGCTTTTTCTGAAATATGATGTGAAACAAGACTAAAGGTGGAACCCTGGACCTGAAATTGAAAACATAATTTAATAAAAGAAAATGTAGGAAATGTGTGTGAGAAGCCAGGGGCTGTATGTAGAAAACAGAGTTAAATATGTAAGGGAGCAAAATGATATGGTGTAATGTCATTTTATTTGTAAAATCCTTGTGTTGCCTTCAGCATGCGTGTGTGGAGAAATCACCGCAATTAGTTTTACATACTTTTAGTGAAAATTAACAGATTCATCATACTATTTTATGATCTTGATTAATATTTTGGTTTTATAAAGTGCTTATATAGTGCTTTCTGTACAACAGCCTTCTCTCCCCCAGTGGGACTATCCTGGTTAAATACATATGTGCATGTTACAGATGGTACGCACTCTCCTCCTCCTCCTCCTGCTGCTGCGCCCCTCCCTCTCCCTGCCATTGGGGGCGCAGTGTGTGGATGAGAACTTCTGCTCCCACAACCTGCAGGAGTACTACAGTCAGATGGTGAACCTGCCGAGCCACATCAACGAGCGCAGCATCGCCTCTTGGAGCTACGTGTGAGTTAAACTGATCACTGCTCTGGAGATGTGTTATTTTTGCTTGCGTTTGTGGTCTAAATGGCTGCTCTAGATTTTCTTAAAGTTGTCAAAATAAGATCCATAGGTTGAAAGTGAATACAGTAGAATCTGAGCTTTAACATGTATATCATTAATATGATGTATATCATCAAAATAAATGAAGACCAATACAGTACTGAACATGCACCGGGTAATAAAAGGAATGCTTAAAGGGGACATATCATGAAAAATCCACTTTTTGTGTCTTAAATGCCTTATGTTGTGTAGTTGGAGTCTCTAGAAGTGCAAAAAAGTTGAAATCAGTCTCTTCATGGGTTGTAGAGAACACTTCATATTCTGTTTAGGTAAGATTTTTCAACCCGTTCTGATTTTGCCATTCTCTATTACGTGTTTGGAATTATTACGTCACAGTATTTGCAGCGGGACTGCTATATAAGGGCATGGGCGTCTAACAAAACACTTCGGACCAGCCCTCCTCTACTGTGCATCACTTCGAATTTGTAGTCCAAGCTCAAGGATGCCAGCGAACATGTACAGGGCTGGACTGGCCATCGGGCGTACCGGGCAATGCCCAAAGGGCCGATGCCCATATTTGGGCCGGTCTGTCTGCCTCATACAAAACACATGTTTATGAGAAGTGTGAATCCGTTGAGAATTGTTCGAGCGGGGCGCCCGTATCCGCGGGGCACCTGCTGTATGCACTCGAACGGGATTCCGCCACCTCAGCGGCCGCAGTGTTCCGGGGCATCTGCGGCCGCTTTGTAATGAGCAGCTTCCGCGTCCAGCGGCTGCGAGCAGTGTTGCCAACTTAGCGACTTTGTCGCTAGATTTAGCGACTTTTCAGACCCCTATAGCGACTTTTTTTCAAAAAAGCGACTAGCGACAAATCTAGCGACTTTTTCTGGTGTTATTGGCGACTTATCTGGTGTTTTGGCGACTTATCTGGTGTTTTGGAGACTCGTGAAGCACGTATTGTTCTGCTGTCCTCAACGTGAGCCCCTCCCCCGTCCCAAAGCACTTACAGGCGGCCAGTCTCACAGTAGCCTTGCGCAGCAGTCCCAGCTACAGTCTATGGGCGGAGCAGAGAGAGAGAGAGGAGACTCAAAAGCACAGGGAGTTTTCAGGCTGCTGCAGACTGAACTCCAGCTCCACCACCACCACACATCCAAAGCTCCCCGGCCACTCCTACCACCGCCACCCCCCACTACCCCCCACTCCATCCGCGGCAGCTCTGTCCGTGACTCTGTTTTCTCTCAGTAGTGGGTCACATTAAATCATTTGTTATGCCAAACTATGAAAAAAAAAAAAAACTTACAAAAATAAACCTAAGTAACTCTGCCAGAGTGTGTCTTTTGGGTCACTTTGCCGGTCCCAAGCCCGGATAAAGGAGGAGGGTTGGTTGTAGAGCTAGCAATTTCACCCTACATAACAATCTTTTGATTACATTTGCTGTTATAACATTTAACAATACAGGACAAAACTGATGTGTGTAATGTGGATCTCAGACAAAGCATTAAAATCATTAAATGTTGTTAATGTTGAAATTATTTTTGTATATTTGTAGTTCTAAACATATTTAGGGTGTTTTTACTCACTTTTGTCTCTCCCACGACCTTATTCCTCTCTCCTACAGCGTCCGTTACAGTTATTTGCAAATTGCAAATTATGCAAATTAGGCGATGACGTCATTTAGCGACTTCTAGCGACTTTTGGGACAGCCAATAGCTACTTTCCTTACTGAGGAGTTGGCAACACTGGCTGCGAGAGGCTGTGAGCGTCCAGCCGCTCGCAGCCGCTCCACCGCGTTGAGGCTGAGCGCGCAGCCTCAACGTGGCCATGTACCCAACGCCATAAACGCGCACAGGACCATGCGTGTCTTTGAGTAATCTGTGCACCCAATAAATACACTGCTGCAAGAAACAGTCCACGTCTCCCCTTTCCTCTCGAAGCGCGAATAAACGCCCTACATAAAGCTCTGATACCTAAATTTTGCATTGCATTAAAAGTTCATGTTTGAGCCCAAAAGTAAAATGTTGTGAACAAATTAAACAGATTTAGAGCCAGCAAATGGCTGACAATATGCATTTCAGTCTTTTTTGACCAATTCTCATCCCTGTAACAAACAATAGTGTTGTCTGTGTCCACCTCCCTCACTCTGAGACATGTTCATTACCCTCTTGTAATGTAGACTATTGCATTTTATTTTATTGTTGAAACTGCACATATCCTGATCCTCTACAGTATTTGCTTCCACATACTGTATAAACTAGGAGTCGGCAACCTGCGGCTCCGGAGGTGCATGCGTCTTTTTCCTTCTGTAGAAGGAAAAACGTTCTTAACGTTTTTAAATGCTGTAAAATTGTGCATAAGTAATATTCAATTTAAACATTTCTGTCAACGTAGTGCGTCTTATCTTGCGACGTAGGCCCGCGCCAGGCGGCCGCTGTTGTAAACAAACCGGCATGTGAGCTCTGCTTGTGTACAAGTCTCTCCATGGCCTCGCTCCAAAATATATTAGTGACATGTTAGTACCATATGAACCAGCCCGGACTCTGAGGAGCACAGGGACTGGACTCCTGTTAGTGCCCAGAGTCAGGACTAAACATGGGGAGGCTGCTTTTCAGATTCATGCTGCTAAAATCTGGAACAGTCTTCCTGAAGATGTGAGACAGGCCTCCTCTCTGACACTGTTTAAAACCAGGTTAAAAACAGTTCTGTTTAGCTGTGCATACAACTGAGGGATTTTATATGTTTATCTTTCTTTTTAATGTTCTGTGATTATTTATGATTTTAATGCTTTCATATTTTGTTCAGCATTGAATTGCCTTGTGTATGAATTGTGCTATATATAAATAACTTTCCTTTCCTTGCCTTGACTGTGCGCATGGATCCCAAAGCTAAAAAGGGAAGAGTCGATAATAAGACTGGACTAAGAATGAAAATTAACATTTGCTTTCAGTCAATGAGGAAGGCCTGCTTCATGTTTGCGATGTAATGAGAAGTTTCTATGAGATAATTGTATCTGTGCTTAGAAACTACAAAAATGGCCGCTCGGGGTGGAGTTGAACCTGTGTCACCTGGATGGGGGCGTGGTCAAAAGCGCCTCATTTGCATTTAAAAAGAGACAGCACCAAAACAGGTTGCTCTCAGACGTACCTCAGAACAGGTGTAAAAGAAAGGCCCGTGGAGCTACAAATAATGAGACTCAGACCCAGGCATTGCAGTTACGCTTTATATAGGCCACAAATTAATGATTTAGATGTAAAAATCAATTATTTGAAAACACGATATGTCCACTTTAAGGAACAAGCTAGCTGTTCTCATCACATAAACCCAAGCCCCAGTGATCCAAGATGGCGGCATTCAAATTATGGCTTGTGCTCAGTAGCGCATGGGACATACATGGGCACTGAAAGATTAGCAGAACTCCCCCATACTTGAGCATCCTCTAGTCCTCCTGCGCAGTGGACGACCTCCCATGATGCTTTGCGCCAAATACTTGTGTGTGGCTCTCATGCACGTGCACAGAGGAGCACGGCCACGCTCTGACCAATCAGCGGTTGCTGATCAGAGCAGGGCAGGGAGGCAAACGAGCAGAGTTTGTTGCACTAAAGTGTGGATTTATAGAAAACAGAGGTCAAGACGTCTTAGTTTATATTGAGTTCTATGGGACATATTTATGTGTAGCCCATGTGAATTTAGTCTGCAGTACCGCGGGCGCCTCGTGTGCCCATTGATGGGACAGCTATAAGCTAGTAATACTTCATCCAGTTATTAAAAGAGAACCATGCATAAACCTCCTCTATGGACTTCTTCAGAATAAACGTTTGTCCGTAACATTGCTTGTCGCCCCCTGCAGGCAGAACATCGACCTGAACCGTGTGCCGCAGGTGATCAGCGAGGCCAGCTGCCACACCACACACTCCTGCCGCGCTGTGGAGGGCAGCTTCGGCCTGGAGACTATCCCAGTGACGCTACGAGTGCCCGTGCTCAAGAAGAACCCCGGCTGCTTCCCCTCCACCGGCTACTCCATGGACTTCGAGCTCATCACGGTGGCCTGTCTGTGCGCCATCTCCAGGAACAACTGAGAACTGCAGTTAGTTTGTTTGCACTTTAGAGACCGGGGCGCAGGACATTTCACAGTCAGATCACCGCAGGGAGGGGAACAAATCTTGAGCCACGAGATTGAACACATAGGACCTTCTGAGAATCTTTTCCAGTCTGTTTACAATAGCTTTCATTCCTGATCTTCAAAAGTGGATAAATAAGTTCAAATGCAAGACAATGGTATAATTTCTCCATCCAAAATCTCATTGGTCACGTTCTTGTGGACCAGTCTCATGTCTTGTCTAATGGAAATGCTATCTCGTCCCATCCCTAAATTCTAGCACAAATTTTAAATGGTTGAATTATGTCGATTTCAAGAACGTATGAATTTATTTTTGAACAGTACACTGTTCACTTTCAGTACACTGTCATGAAAATGTGCAAGAAATGTGCAATATCCAACAATTCTGATCTTTTGTCGCGTAAAACGGCTCTAAGCCAAAACCTCTTTTATTAAGCTAAAGTGATGCTATGTGGAAGTGCAATATTTCTGTAGCAATATTGCACTAAAAAAGGCCTAAATCCTCATTATGACATCACAGCCACAGAACAAAGCCGACAGTGAAACGTCTGCGCTCATATGTTATGGACGCAGCAGGAGAAAGGTTTGTATTTAACATTCAGTTTTGATTCTTTTTTTGTTTTGATTTCAACCAGTCAGTGCTCAATGTCTGATTAATCCTGGTTAATCAATGTTTGTCTATATGTATGTAAGCTACTACATTTTACCATAGACTGTACGTCCTAAATGAATCCTCTCATCAGATAGAGAAATAAAAACACTTCATGATGTAAAGGAATCATTTGTTTTCATTTGTGAAATCGAATGAAGGATATTGTGAGAGTTCCAGCAGCACAAGAATTATACTTGCAATATCAGCACAGGATACAATACTATACAAGACTGTTATAATACGTATTGAGGGAAACAAATCAAAAATAGCTTTGAAAATGAATATTGAGTGGAACGATCAAAACATATTTTTAAGGGAAAAGTCTGTCTTCGGAGACTTTGATGAAAATCGATTAAAAATCGAAATCGTCCAAAGCCGGAAGTAAAATCGAGATTTTACTTTTTTGCCATATCGGCCAGCCCTAGTTCAAAGCGTCATAACTAATTACTTACAAGTAGAGCTGCAACTAACGATTATTTTGTAATCGATTAATCTATCGATTATTTTTACGATTAATCGAGTAATCGCTTGGCTGTGAATTGTGTAGAAAAAATGTATTTTTTCATCACAAAAAGCTAAAGTGGCAACACTCGAGGACGTATTGATGGCGTAAACTTAAAGTAAATGTTTGTAACAGGCTCTTTGTGCTAATTCTGCTCTGATTGGATGAGACAGACAGATATTCATGAAATTATAAAAACAAAGTCGGTTTTAATCAAAAATACTACATTTTCATGTCATTTTTGCTCAGTTTGAGTCCGTGTGAACCAGAAAACGATTAATCGATTACTAAAATAGTTGTCGACTATTTCAATAATCGATTAGTCGTCGATTAATCGATTAGTTGTTTCAGCCCTACTTACAAGTTAAACGTTATGAAAATGCATATTTAAAAAAGTGGACACTCGCAATACCATACTCAAACAGAAACTTGCATCCATCTCTAAACAAAATTTAAATGTATATATACCTCTAAAATTTGAATTTATATAAAGTCAGGTCAACTTCTGTGGTCCGTCCATGCTACACTTCTGAGTGGAGTTTGTATGTTCTCCCTGTGTCTGCATAGGTTTCCTCCAGGTGCTCCGGTTTCCCCGCTCACTCTCTCACTCTCTGTGTGGAGTGAGAGACCAATACCATCAACAATTGTAAAGCGCTTTGTGACTCTGGTCTATAAAATGTGCTATATAAATAAACGTTACTTACTTACACAAACACATAGTCAATATTAGCTTGTTAATAAATTAATTACGAGGAAGTCTTTAATGTGAATTGCAGAGTTAGAGACATTACTTACATCCCAAATTTTCGGATGGAACCGCTCTCTCCACTCTTTGAACACAACTCTATGGTCTTATTTGATCAGAATAATTGACAATTGGGAGGACCAGTAGTCTTGATGATCCACCCGGAAAAACCTCCTATATCCCTTTAACAAAACTAGTTTTGCTGCATTTCTTTAGAGGAAATCTTACACAGTAGAAATTACATTTAGAGCATGTACGTTCAGCAGATCTAATACATTCTCCATGGAATCCTTGCACAATAAGAGCCAAACCTTTCGACAGGATCTTGGCGATGGACTGCGCCAGTGACGGCTTCTCCGCCACCATCAGAACCGTCCTCATTTTGGCTTAAACTCAAGCCGTGGACCACAGACTGCTCTTCAGACGGGAACCCAGGTTATTGTCGGTGTGTTGATCCAGAGCAGTGCGTATTACTAGCTTTTTATTGCGGTGGAACGTGGTTTCTTTGCGGTGTTTTGTCAGTTAGATTCAGGGCGCCGCCATGACAGTTCTTCTTCTGCTGTGAGAGTCTGCAGCTCAGCGCCATCTGTGCAACAGAGAGGGAACTGCAGCTACACGGAACTGTTGTCCGTCTGGTTGGTTGGCTTGTTGGTTGATTGATTGGATTATTGGTTGGTTATTTGCTTGGTGGTTTGGTTGTTCAAATCATTGATCAAATTCAAATCATTGATCTTGCGCCGCCAGGCACTTGTCAGTATGCTTGTGCTGCTCCAGGCTTCTACCACGGGCACGTAGCTGAAATCAGCCTTTGCATCCTATGCACGCCACTGCGGAATGAGGAGAGAGGCGAGGCTTTCTGCTTCAAAAGCATGCGCTGTGTTGAGGACATGAGGTACAGCAGGCGTTGGAGAAAACAACAGTGCATATAATTATCTCCAGGTCACAGCCCAAAACGTTGAAACATTATTTATTTATGTCCACTGTTCGTGATAGTCATGTGCACTGTAAAAATCAGATCGACTGACTCAAAAGAAAACATAAACAAAAAAGCAGCCTTTATTAATAAATTGTTCTATACACTGTAAAAATCAATAGCAAAAGCAGAGAATGAGAAGCTGATATAAGACAAATACTTTCTTTTTTGGAGATTTGTTTAATATAAACTTTTTGCTTCCTTTTCTAACTAAATCAAGGGACATTTAGACCGGGGAAAATATATGATTAATCACAACAATTGTAAAACACTTTGTGCCTCTGGTTTGTGAAAGGTGCTAAATGAATAAAGACTAGTTACTTACTTACAAGTTAACAATGACTTTAATGCAATTAATCACGATCAAATATTTTAATAATTAGACAGCACTAAAAGGTTTGCAAGTAAAAGCAAACAAAAAAAGCTACACAAAGCATTTTTCTTGAATATAAAGCACTTGATTGTTGTATTTCTTGTTTGTCCAAATCGTTGGGTTGTCAATTCTGTGACGCGCCTCTCGACTCTGTTGTGATCTTGTGCAACATTTTGAAAATTGATTTGATTTGACAGCACCAACTTTGGTTATTGTTAAAGCACGGGATCTGTATCAGAGGGCGGGGTGATGGCAGAGCTGCTGTTACTTAGTTTGTCCACTAGATGAGGCTGTTGGCTTGAACCGAAATTAGCTTCCAATTGTTGCATTGTGTTGATAATATAACTAGACTAATATATATATTAATATATATTTCTGTGAATATACTGACCATATGTTGACTAAAATATATTCTCTTGAGTTGTTTTCCCTCGAGTGCCATCCTTTTAGAAATGAAGTGAAGCAGAGAACATTCAAACCAGGACTGACGAATGGTTGAGACCTTTTCTGATAAACTCATTTTGTTTGAAATATACAACAATTTGTTTGAATTTATTGTAGTGTTTTCTGACTGTCAGTTAATGTGACTTCCATCTGTCTACGAGCAGAGGCTATTATCTGGAATATATTCATGAGAAAAATAGACGTAAATGTTCACACAAAACTAGATAACACATAAACAGGTGCTTTACTACTTTAGCTGAAATATAAAACTATGTCCCCTAAAAACATTTGAACAGAAATTAACTGAAAATTAAATTAATTTAAAAATACATAGCATTTATTTAATTATATTTAATTATTTTATTTCGACTTTTCATGAACACATATAAAAGCAGCATATAGCATATATAGTGGAAAAGCTCTCTTCTTGTTGTAGTGTAAGCAAAGAGTACACTCTGGTGTATGTACTTTGATGTAAGATTTGAGACAGAAGCAAGTTTGTGCTCATTCTCAGCAACAAGTCCCAGATATCAGCAGTGATGGAGCTTTAACAAATCCAAGTCCGTCTTTGATGAGGGAACGACACAGTCCCATGGTAGAAAAATTGGGCAAAAAAATAGATGTAAATTAGCATAATATATGTCCTTTAATATAACTGATTTTATAATACAGGAAAAAAAATAGTACCACAACTTTTACAGTTCAGACGGAAACAAATGTATTTATTCTGTCAAATACATAGCACTTATTTAATTCTATTTATTCATTTTATTTTGACTTTTCATGAACACATATGAAAGCACTTGATCCATGAAGCCACTGAAATTTGAAATCAAAAAATGTTTTAAAGATTTAATATTTTTGGCCCTATTGTAAAGTCAATAAACATCATAAAAAATATGTAAAGATTTCACAAAAACTTCAACTTCAGTGAATGTGTTTAGAATCTAAAATATAAGCAAGACTCTTAACCCCACTTTGCCTGAAGCCCCCACTGAAAAATCAAGGCTCCTGTGGACTCACCACCTGCAGGAGGATCAGCTCTGACTGCCACCCCCCCAACCCAGAAATGATGTAAGATTTAAGACAGTATAAACCTTGTGCTCAACTCCAAGTCTGTCTTTGATGAGGGAACAACACAGTCCCAAGGTTGAACATTTAAAAAAATAAAAATAAACAGATAATCCCATGGTTGAAAAATTGAAAAAAAGTAGCATAATATATGTCCTTTGATATAATGAGCATATGATTGAACTAACTCACTAAAACTTACGTCCACTTATTTGACGTTGCAGTTTAAAGGTTTAAAGCAGGATTTTCTACTTCCAGGTGGATCATCAAGAACTCATCAAGGTCCTTCTAATTGTCAATTATTCTGGTGACACGTGCTCATCAAATAAGACCAGAGAGTTTTGTTAAAAAAGTGGAGAGGGCGGTTCTTGCCTAAATTTGGGAATATCCTCCTGTATACCTTTAAGTTGCCAAACCTTTCCACTGGTAATGTTTTCTATTCTTTTGAGCTACTACTTTTTCATGTTTCAATCCCATGTAGAATTGCTGCAAAAGGTTTGAGTGTTGTTTAGACCCGTGTTGGCTTTTCACCACTATAACGTGTCAATATAGAAGGATGAAAAAGAAACTTACAATGATTAAAAAACTTCTTCTAAAGTCACAGCACAGTGGACTCAGAACCAGAGGGAGTCGTATTTTAGTTTATCATCCACGTCGAGCCAGATAAATGTTTTCAAACCTATTATTTACAAGTTTATGATAGTTGTTGAACATTTTTTACCTGACGCACAAGCAACGGTCTATATTTTTTTACTGTCTAACATTACTGCTATGGTCACAATAGATATGGCTCAGCAAAAAGTACAAGGTGTTTCGTGAACTGACACCCATCTGCACCTCCCAGAAATTGGAAAAAAAAGTTGATCCAGCAACTTTTTGTAAATTTCTCCAGTGTGAGATCAACAAAGTCTAGTATCTTATCTTATCTTATCAAGTTGGCTGATGAGCTGAGAAAATATGCTTGGAGACTAGACACATTATTTTTGAGGTATATTTCATTTGTCTTCCACATTTGACCCATCTCCAAAGCCTCTCGGGCCTCTGTCAGGAGCAGTGCAGTGGCCTGAGACCCACCTACATGTGTTGGTGCTTGGCTTATACCTATGGTGAATGTTACTTTAAAATAACATAATAAAAATAACAACAAGAATACCTTTCATTTCTCAGGTGCCTTTCTTGGCCGCTCAAGGTCGCCTTACATACGGGTAAAATGTGTATTTAAAAAAAGTCACAATACAAAGTTCAAAGCAGCATGAACAGACTAGGTGTTGTTTTGATTTTAGTGAATAGGCTTGCCTAAAGAGATGAGTGTTGAGGGTCATATGGGCTTGTAAATGATAAAATAAAATAAAAGACAGCAGGGATCAGTAACAATAACGGAGCATCTTCTCTGGCTATTTTGGTTCTTCATCCACTACTGCCTCCTCCATGGAACTGCCCCGGCCTGCCTCACAGAGCTCCACTCACCACCTCACACCACCCCAGCTCGACCTCCACCCACCCAGGTGTCGGCTCTCCACCATCTCCTTCCTGATCGCAGCAGCACCCTCTGGAACGCCCTCCCACAGACTCTGAGGACTCCATAGAGCATTGGGCCTTTAAAAACAAGGCCTAAGAATCTCCTTGTTTGATCAAATCTTTCAGACTTTAATGAGTGCTTAACTATTTATTCCTTTTATGTACTTTTTTATATTTAGTTTTTTTTTGTATTGAATTTTAAACTGTAGCAATCTAAGTTTTTGGAAATGTAAAATGCATTAAAAATAAAATGTATCATTATTGTTATTTTCTAAAGAATTAAACTGAACATTGAGCTTTTAGAAAATAACAGTAAACCTTGAAACCCCACTTTGCTGAGCGATGGCCTCTCGTTTTCACAATGTCTGGTTATAGCTGATAAAAGTATCTGTCTATCTGTAAAAACATTTATATATTTGTTTTCTAGGCTCAGTTTTAGAAGTAAAAAATAAATGATAGAATATAGGTATTTCTTGTTGCTGTGGATATTGCTATAAATGATAATTTATGTCAATGGGCCTGATTTATAAGATAGATACTGCTTCAAGCGATCCCTTTCAAAATATGCATTCTTATCTAACTAGAATAATGTGTAATGTTTTTATAAAGTTAAAAAAGTGGACTGGACATTTCAGGGTTCCAGTGCACATTGTAGACATCAAGAAGAGAGGAGCCAGTGTTAGATGAATGGGAGCAACAAGCTATAACTACTTGTTTTAATATTAAGAGAATGAGTCATATGCTTAAAAATCATACCTGAAGTAATATCTATAAAACTAGAACTACCATTAGCAGTGGCGGTTTTCTGACTATCGTATCTAGAGAAAGCTGCAACTGCTCCATCAGCAGCATCAGGATATGCACAGAATCACTAATTAGGAGATATGAGGCGAGTGAATTGTCAGTAGACACATTCATATAATTACAATAGTGTTGCAACAGAAAATACAGAGAGAGAGATCATTGTAATCCAGACTGTCAGACAGAAATCACCAAAATTGACTGATTGATTTGAACCAACACTAGAAGCCATCACAGCAATTTTCCTGTCTCTGTATACTGCAGTGTGAGCCACTTGTGATCCATACCCCCTCCCCTCTTTTCCTCTCTCTTCCCATACGTTTCATGGACGTATGTGATGCCGCATGTGATCCAGACCATAATACTCTCCCGCTCCTCTTGGGTGGGGGGGTGCGTTGTCATGGAAACGCCTGCCTCAAACCGGTTTGGTGTGGTGATGTTTTAGGGGCACGGGGTTCATTGGTTTGGTCATGATTTGACTCCGTTCGGCTGTTTGCTGACACCACTGCTTTGTTATTCAAGGAACTGGAATCAGAAAATGTTGATGTGACATTTGATCACAACTGATGGAGAAATAGCACATGATGCAGATCTCAGCTCATCAGGGTCTATGTATACGTTCCCTAAAGCAAAGGCATAGATGGACTGGGATACAGACCCGAGTGCAGACCCGAGTACAGACCCAATTCAATTCAACTCAGTTTAGTCTTGTATAGCCCTAAATCACATCAGTAGTTTTCTCAAAGGATGTAACAAAACCGTTGAAATCACCAACACAGATCCAAGAATCAAACAGTTCTACCACAAAGAATAGAGAACACATAAGTATTGCTCCAAAGTAAGGAGTTGACCAACATTCATAAGTGTTGATACATGTCCATACATGTTGTCGAATGCTGAGTGTCCTGGATCATCACCACAGTCCGTTTTGTTAGACCGGACTTTAGACTACGAGACTGAACTGGAGATGGACAACTTCACGATGTCTTCTGACAGAACAACTACTGATGTTTATCGGATATAGCTTTGAAATACACTGCTCTGTACTGTTTTTAGATATAATTGCTTTTTATGGTAAGACCCATTACAATAAATGTAATGAAACGGCCCTGAGTCTAATTGGACATGTGAGAATTATAGCCACATTATAGAACTTCAAGAGTCTGATGGAAATGAAAAGTTGAAAAAGTGTACTTTCCAAAGAAAGATGGATTGGAATGTCAAAAGAACTTGTCTGGAGCTGTGATGCTCAGGACTTTATTAAAGGATAAATATGTTTTAGATGATTGGGAAACCGGGAGTGCTCAGAGGAAACTCATAGACACTGGGATCAACATGAAATCTCTGCATAGAAAGGCCGGACCAGCCTGTGGCTCAAAGCTCATCAAACATCCATTTCAAGAGTTTTGCTGTTCAGATCTTTAAAATATGAACCTTACAGTCCACTGCTGTTGTGTCCTTTCCAAGGCTCTTCAGCCTCAGTGCCTCCACTCTGTAGTTACATCCACCCCCTCAAAATAATTATTGACATTGTAATGTTGACTATTGAAGACATGAAGTCTTATGTGGTAGACCTTTGGTTTCCTGCCCCATAGGACTTCAATGGGGAGATTTTTATTTTTATTTTAGGATGTTTATTCTGTACAAAAAATAAAGCTTTTTTTGACAGGTCACATAGGGAAGAGCATAGCCCGGGCCTACCTTCAGAAGCCTTTGAGCCTGACACTCTGTGCATGTGTGTGGCCCTTCTGTGTGCTTTAATAGCAGATCTTTACCATCATTATATGTTAGACAGAGATGTTTATTTCCTGGCCATATTGAATTGACAGCGTGGTATCACTTGTTGCTAATTGATTAATTTTTCTTGATATCAGTAAAATTATCTTTTGTTCTCACATTAAGTTCCTTTGGAGTGCGAGGCGTGGGGGTTCGTTCAGAATAATTTATTGTGACACTTGGGGAAGGCGCCCCCCGGGGTGTCCGGCCTATGGCCTTTGTTTAGAGCCTTTAAGCAGGTTATTCACGGAGTTTGTCACGGAGCTCTCCGCGTGTGAGCAGCGGCTTCATGCGCAGCTGCTGTCCGGGCAGAGGAGGTGTGCCTCGGCCAGAGCTGCAGCTGAGGCCCGAGGAGAAGCACTGGGCTTCGGCCTTACAGACACCGTGAGTCCACGCAAACTTCCAGTTTAACCCTTTACAGGCGGAGCAAAGGCCGCGGAGGACACACGCAAACTGTGAGCAACGAAAACGAGCATAAAACAGAAAAGACGAACCATGTGAGGTGTTAGCATTAGCTTTAGCACCGCGCTGCTCAATGTAAAGAGTGAGTTTATCCCTCCGCCAACAGGTATAGTGCATAGGCGCGTTGCTATGGAAACCTTTTTGAATGAATGTGAATGTACAGATCTGAACGTATCCCTCCGCGGACCATTGGAAAAATATATTAAAAAACGAAAGGAAATGAAAACAAAATAATTAAATTGTATAGGTACATCCAGAATATTCACAGTAGAAAAATAACACACAAGCGATATTTCGTTTTTTGTGTAGAGAAAACAATATAAAAACAGTGATTGGCAGTTGGAGTAATGTAAGTCTCTGTGCAGAAATCCCACAAAATATGTATTTATTTGAATGAATTTGAGCTGCTTACATTCCTATGTTGGAACAACTTTAGGTTCAACTAAATTGTCACAAAAACCTGTTGTGGACCAGACTTAAATCTTGTAATATGATGCAGTTGACAAAAAATAGATTAAGAGATCCTCTATTCGTCCCACAGTTGGGAAACTTCAGACAATTTCTCCAAAATTTTCCCTTCTGTTTCTTTCATTCCAGTTCCTAATGCCTCACTAAAGACTGGACTCCAGTATCGGCCTATTGTTTAAATAATAGATAATGGACTGATAGAGCTGTTAAAATCCAAATTGTCTTAATGTACTTATGTGTTCTAAACTATTATAGATGACCGTTATCTGTTAGTCCTAGCACAAGTAAAAACATGAGCTGTATTTTAGTCGAAATGTTTAATTCATAGCAATAATCCGTTTTATATTTGAGGCCTGTGTTAAACAATATTTGCTGTGGCTCATTGGTGCTTTTGAGGATGGTTCAATATAAATTTTGATGCTGTGTTGTCTACTTATGAACTACATATATTTACCATAAAAACACAAAATAAGACCTCTGTGTAAGGCCCAACTTGACAACATTATTAACAAATGATGATCAGGTGGGATAGTATGCAAATTTGACTTGCAAAAGCTTTAATTGTTTGCATCTGTTTTCCCACTCGAATAGATTCATGCAGGTATACAGTGTATGTATGGTGGTATGTATGTATATAGTTGTGTGTGCATGTATGTATGTGTGTGTGTATGTATGGGTAATCTTTCCTCATGTATTCAAAACAACATGGCGCAGTTGACCCACGTTTACACTGTTCTTAACTTTGTCTGTTTGTTGATGCAGGTATTTTGACACAAATGGAAAAACTCACATCACTGCTGAGGTCTGCTGCTTTGTTGTAAAAGTACCCGTCGCAAACCGCCACTGCATTTTCCATTTCAGAATTTAGATGATTTGTTTAATTTTAATTCATTTTAGACACATTTTTCTATCTGTTTGTTCTAAATAATACCCCATAGCATTTTATTATTAGAGAATTTTATTTAGCAGGCAAAAGCACATAGTACAGTGTATTGAAATGGCTATGGCTATGTTATAAATATGCCAAAGAGATTTCACTTATTATTTAAAAGGTACAACAAAAATACTTTAAAATTGTGTTTTCTTTCAAAGTATATTTCACCTAAATCTGTTGAAATGAAGGCGATATATTTTTTAATATTTTTATTATGATTTTAATGATTGGTGAGATGCGAGATCAATACCAAAGCAGAGCGGAAATTACATATTTGGCTTTTTATTGATTCTGTGATCTGTGTTGGCAGTCTTCCGAGATAAATACTGTTGTGATTTTGGGCTATACAAAAATAAATTGAAGTGAATTGATGAAACTGTTTGAGGATCATCCGTCAAAGTTAGTGAAGCCACTAATCGATTAATCACAAGACATAACTGAAAAGAAATCATTGTTAGTTACAATTCAAGCTAGTTCTTTTTTCAGTTCAACTCTTTTGCGCCTCCCTTTTGAACATAAAACCTGCGGAGGCCTGCGGAGCCTCAGGGAAATACCTCCGAAAACACAACTTTCTCAAGACAGAAAACACTGCTCAAAAGTTTAAATACCCTGGCAGTTTGTACGCTTTTGTACGTTTGTATGGCTATTTTTAAAAACCATATGAAAGATCGCGTTTCAAGCCTCAAAGTTACTATTTTTGGTATCTTGTAGTGGACCCGACATTGCATCCCATTTTAATTATTATTAATCTCAATTTCAGACTCATTCAATTGGTCCATATTTTTAAAGAATATTGAATAAGAGAGAGTACAATTCTTTTAACTCTATCCCATGTTTGTGTAAGAGATAAGAGATCCTTTATTCGTCCCACTGTGGGGAAATTTCGATGTTGCAGCGCACATACAGGACAGTAGTAAAAGCACACAGGGAGCACACACAATATACAGAATAAGTATATGTGTGTAAGATTGCGAGCAAGGGACCAATGCACAATTTTCTTTCGGATCAATAAAGTATATACAGTATCTATCTATCTATCTATCAATACAATATATAAAGGTAGTCCAAGCAGATCTGGTTAAGAGCACACAAGGAGCACACAAAATATACAATACAAGTAGCTGAATGCTTCTTAAATCTGGAATCTACAGGTGATCATACAGCAGTCTATGGGGTGGTGCGGGGCTTAATCACAATTATATTTAAATGTTACTGGTTGTAATTAGTTAGAAACATTGAAAATAACCTCCACTTCCATGTTCTGCGCTTGCTGTATGTGTTTATTCTTTCCACATTTTTCCTTCTTTCTCTTGGGGTTTCACACTACTGCAACTGCTCCTGAATCTGTCTTAAATGTAAATACTATTCCCATACTGTTAAAGCATAAATAGCAAATCTAGTCCCATTTGCAAAGTTTACCAGAGAAAACGCTCTGATGTGCTAGGAGTAGGACGAAGCCGTTTTCACACTAACAAGTTTTAATGGATACTGCTAATTATTGATCATATGTGGAGTGGGGGGGAAAGGATGTTCTCTTGAAAATGGCCAATACTTTTAAGTTAAAAATGTAGAGACTTTTTCCATGTTTTCCGTGCACTGTGTAACCATATACAGCTGGCTTTATGTCTCTACAAACAAGGTCTTTTAAGTGTTATAAACATCATAATTTGAATCTCCAAGTTCAATATTCGCAAAGTACGTCTGACTTGTGCCTCCAGAAACATTTATTTAATTTTATATCCATTTCGTTTTGCAACTGACAAAGTCCTAAAACGCACACATTATTTGACGTCGTCTGACATCTATCTATTCTTAAAGCTCTTCCATAATTAGAAAATACATTGAGTGGTAAATTGCGAGGACATGTGGTTTTTGCGTTCAAAATAATTCATGTATTTTTAATGTATTTTAGTAATCATAAATAATAACTGGGATGTGAACTCAGAGAGCGCATATCCCCTCGACAAATCATCTCACATTATTCTTTTCACATCTCATCTACACACCAAATGTCAATCCGCAAAGTGTTTTTTCCCTACATACAAACACACTCACAAAGAGGCACGATATCTCCACTGAATGCGGGATATTCATAATGCTCAATTCTATATGATTAAAATAGCACGTCAAGTTTATTTGTTTGTACTCATATGATTCAGTTGTGAGGGAGAGACTTTGATATTAACATATATTTGTTTTAATAGACCTGCCCTTTGTCCCTCTTCACTGTTTTATGGACAATAATAATAATAATAATAATAATGCATCGATTTTATATAGCGCTTTTTTGGACACTCAAAGATGCTTCACATGTCATTATTCATTCACTCCATACACGGTGGTGATAAACTACTAATGTAGCCACAGCTGCCCTGGGGCACACTGACAGAAGCGAGGCAACCAGTATGCGCCATCGGCCCCTCCGACCACCACCAACCATTCATACACACACACAGACTCATTCTAGGCAATGGGGGTGAAGTGTCTTGCCTAAGGACACAACAGCAGTTTGGCACTTTACAGCCGCAGCCGCCCCACTGTGGCTGGTGTTCCCAGAGGTTAAGTGTCTTGCCAAGGACACAAAGACAGTAGTCAGTGGGAGTCGATGGTGAAAGTCTTGAGCGGGGCTTGAACCCACGACCTTCTGGCTCAAAGGCCAACGCTCTACCAACTGAGCTACTGCCGCCCGACAGAAGTGTAAGTTACAGCCAGAGGTCATAGGGAGCCCAGTTTGAGACCACAGGATTTAATTTCTTTTTGCGGACAGTGCCCAGTTGCTTTCATCAAACCTGGACCAGTCATTAGTCAGTTTACAGAAAAGGTGCGTTGTCCTTTCCAGCTGTAGATGTCCTTCCTCAAGTGGAGGACCAAGTCTCTCAGGTCTTGCTCAGTGAGAGAAGGATGGAGCGTGAGAAGGACAGACATGCAGTCGTTGTATCGGACTGTTGAAGAGGGAGCAGAGTCAGAGCTTTATATTTACCGGTCAATCTACATTCCCACCCTCACCTATGGTCATGAGATTTGGGAATTTACCCAAAGGATGAGAGCGTGGATACAAGCGGAGTGACTGAGTGCTCTGGTCTGTCTGGGTGAGGAGCTTAGTCACATGGAAGGAGCTCGGAGTTGAGCTGCTCCTCCTCCACATTTGAGATAGATGCCTCCAGGAAAGGTGTTCCAGGCCTGTCCCACCAGGAGGAGGCCTCGGGGAAGACGCTGGACACGCTAGCCACTGTGCCTTCCCCCGTTTAAAGCAGGAATGTGCCGTGGCCCCCGCTCCTGCCTGCATGTCTGACTGTGACTATTCTCAACGACCAATAGGAGTTTAGTTCCCTGACTTTTGACCTGCTTGAACCAGTGCTTTTGGATCTTTTTGAAAACCTGCTTCTGCACCATTCTGTAAAAATGCACTGAATGTTTAACTGGAGGTGATCATTTCAGGGAAATGGCAAAAAGGACAAAACTGCTGAACATTCTGGGTACGTGGGTATATAAATTGTTTTAGTATATTGTGGAAGATTATAGCAAAAGATTCTTATAAAACTCGCACAAGAGGACACAGCCCACTCCTTTTGTATTCTAACACAGATGCTATCTACATGAAGGTGAGGAAGGGGGAAAAACAGGTTTCAGGATCTGCAATAAATGGTTAATGTCCAAACATGATGGACAAGATGTTTCTGTTTACATCTGGCATTGGGAGCTTCTGTGTGCGCAT